CCATGTCTACTTCATCGAATGACTACGTACGGTCATGGACACACCAAAATTACAAAAAACACAATCTTTCCTTTATTAATCTTGCTATTCATCCTTTCAACTCGAAACGACCGGCACTACAATCCTGACGTACACCCCGAACTAGTCTCTAAAACCAACTGACTCCATCGACGCCAGGCTTGCCACTGTCGTGCTCCAAAGTTGAAAATTTTTCCCAAATGGTCGTGACGCCAAATCGAGGGACAGACTTATTTTGTCATGGTAGTCAGTTTGCAATGACAATAAAATTATAATATGCTCCTTTTATGTAAATTTAATATCCATTGATGACATAAAAATATGGCTTTATATATTTCGGCATGAATAATTAGTCTAAAAACAGCGTGAAAGTTGGAAAATGTACCCTAGGGACATGTCATGGTCGTGAATTTCGAGACTTTAAAAATACGAAAAAAATACCTAGAACCTATTTAAAACCAAATAAATGTGTGTAACATGTTGCCCCCGTCCCAAAAAATATTAAAACACATAATAATAAATTACAAATCCAATAACTACGAAGTAAAAGGCCAGGGACATGAAAACGTACGTTTTTAAATTTTCACTCAATTACAAATGTTTAAAACTAACATGGGTTTAACGGGTTGCTATGCTGGTGACGAAATAACAACTAATTATGAAAATAAAATCAAAACAAATGGAACATATTCCAATCACATTTATTATTTACAGTGTATGTTAAATGGAGAAGTATGTGTAGTACATTGCATAGTTTTTGTCGAGTTTTCAACCGCTGGACCTCAACTTCATTGTACACTTCATTGTTCATTGATCACTGGGAAATCCATTGTAAACTATAGGATATGCACACTAATCAATACAAATACTTTAAGGTTATGTGAAAAAATATTTAAAGGAATCAGCAAAAATAGTAATACATAATTGCTGGGCAGCGGTCTATTGCAATTCATTAGGGATATACTGCTTGTATATTTAATGATATATATAAATGTTTTAATTAAATAAGCGATTTTCGGTACTAGGGCTGGAAAATTTTAATCTATATAAATAAAATTAGAGTTTTGTCTGTACATTGCTCAGAATTATATACTTTTAGGTTATTTTTACGTTTTATACATTAAAGAAGCAGAAACGAGTCTTGTCTCAATTTCTGTCTGTCTGTCTGTCTGTCTGTCTGTCTGTCTGTCCCTTTGTCTGTAACACTCAAGATGGCATTTTACGCAATCTTCTCCGTGAAAACCAGAGTACATAACAAGATCCAAGTCATTTTAATGTATTCACTGGATTGGCGAGAGTGTCTTTAGTGATTTAAATATAGCCTCACTACTTTGTAAATAAAATTACGGACGTTCAAAAATGCAGTTTTGTGCGATTTTTGTCAAATTTTCGTTCAATTTTTATCAGATAATCGTCTATGAAATAACGAACAGCTGTTCGGATCAAGATTATTTTTTCTAGCTGTCAATGACATGTTTACAAATGTTGTTTACAAATACCGCAACTATTTCGAATCACGTTTTGAAAGCAAATCCCAACCAAGTGAGATTAAAAACGTTTTTCTTATATAACGGATTTAATTAATCGCAAGTGCAATAATATAGTCTAATAGTGTAACCGTAAATGAAATTAAATAACTAGACATCGTCCAAATCGGAACCAGAAATTCTTTGAGTATAAAATGTTTCTTGAGTTTTGACAACCAGAAAGAAGAAGACCTTGAATCAGTGTTGTATAGGGCTGTGACACTGAAATGATCGTCGCCAATAGCTTACAAAAAAGGTTTCCACTCATTGACGGCGCTTCAATGGCGGTTGTGTAAAGTGCAAAGTAAAAAATCACAACTGCAGTGGGTGATTGTAACAGAGGTTTAACAGAGGAAGTGCTAAACTCGTTTTTCCAATGTGTCACTTTCTGTTTCTACTCACCGTGTGATGCAATCGCTGGACCATACAGCCAATAGGCCCATAGTTCATATCTTGGGTACGTAAGCCTACATATTTATTCATAACAACCTTTTTGACGACGATCCTTGATACCGGTACTTTTCCATAAAATACATGGCGTACCTACTTAAAAAATAAAATTACAAATGACCAAAACCCCAACATTGTGTAATTTTCGTCACATTTCCTTCTAATGTTAATAGATATATAATAGATAGATATACTAATCATTGTTTAGAGAATGCGTAATCTATTTTATAACAAAAAGTTGTTTGGGTAAGGTTGCTTTTTTTCAAACTGACACCGATAAGTTTACGCTATAACTTTTTACGAGAAAATCCAAAAGCAAGAGATCAATAACCTCGGGACTAGATATTAATGTATTTAATTGGTCCGATTTACTATAGTTCTTAGGTAGGTTCTTACGTAGGTACTGGTTCTTTTCCTTAGAACCGGTAGTTTACAAATTTGATATCGTTGGTGTTGCACCTTATTTATGAGAGCCGTCCGTATTTAATTTAAGTAATGTCTTAACTCTGTATAAGTTTTGCTTTTTCTGTCTGGATTCCAAATCTTAGCTTACCCGGTATGCTAAGAAAATGATAACCTATTTGAGTAAAACATTTGTTGGGCAAACCATCATGAATTGTTTACGCCTTTATATTGTTTATGTATCAATAGTTCGTGGCCTTTGTTGGATTGTTGTATTGTGTTGTTTTGTTGTATGTTGGTAACGCATTAATGTCCTTATTTCTCAGTGTTTCACGGAATGGACAAGAGCACCTTTGATACTGAAAATGTCAACCGGAATAAAGTGTTAAATGGTGAGGTTGAGGTAGTACTTTAAATACGTCCGATGTGGAAAGTAACTTTCAATTTATAGGCCTACTTTAGGGCTACGCTTCATGGATCTATAAAACATTTTTAGCGAATTTCCCATATAGGGAATAAGCTATTACCGTAGTACTCATGGTAAGACCTGGACGCGGGACCAATTTTTTTTTTCGTTTTGAGGTCCCTAGAGGTCAAAAACACCATCCGTTCAAATTCATATATATATATATATATATTTATATATTTATATATTTATATATATATATATGTGTCCGTCAGCACGATAACTCAAGCAAAAGTTATCCGATTTTGATGAAATTTGGTACAAACGTGTAAACCTACGTTTATTCGAACGAGTTCGCGATCCAGCATGATCGGACCATGGGAACGGGTGTTTACGGGGGGTTTTATGGGGTAAAAATAGGTTTTTCCCATTTTTGACCCAAAAAACTTAAAATTTTGCAATTTATTTCCAAACCATTTTGTAGAGCTTAAAAAAACAAATAATTTAGTATATTGAAGCGATATTGTGCGCCTAACGGTTACAGAGAAAATTCCAAAAAATTGTAAATTTAAAATTCCCATGTTATTCTTATGGAGAATAAGTAAACTGTTGTAGTTTGCTTGTTTATGAACATATTTTGATCAAATTTGGAAAATGTTTTTATTTCTTACTAACTATTAACATTTTACAAAAAAAATTTTACCCTCCCTGATGCAGCAAACCTAAGTACTTGTTAAACTAATTCTATTTAAATCGGGAATAAATGTTATATTTTTAAGTAGACATTTCAGTGTAAATGCAATCAGTCAAATGGAAATTCGCTTAGTCTGCAGGTTTGCTGCGGCGGGGGTATTTAGTTTAATCATTGGACATATGGACCAACACGATCCGGGTGACATTTAATTGCGAAGCATTTATTTTGGCTTGAACTGTCAGATACTGTATTTGCGAAGGTTTATATATAATAGTTTTGCCAGCATATCTGCAAATATGCAAACTAATTGCTGTTCTTAATCTTAATATAAGAAGGTTTCAACTGACTACTTTAAGATCCCCGTGCGTAGAACGGGCACACAGCTAGTCACAACTATAGCTGCCATTTCGACCCTGGACAGCAATGCGTAGCTTTCAGCCTCCAATTAACGTCTGTAAAACTACTAAAACATCGTATTGCGGTGAAAAATATTTGCCAATCATACTCAATCGACTCGGAACACTGCAGTTCCTGATTTAATTAAGGGTATTATTAAAAAGTACTCGTGCAGTAATCAATTAAACAGGGTAACGAATTGAAGGATAGATACAACTAGACTATAAGGACGCAAAATACGCGTAGGTACAACTAGACGTAGGGACTACTAGACGGAGGGACCACTAGTCGTAGAGACTACTAGTCGTAGGGACTACTAGTCGTAGGGACAACTGGTCGCATCCGTACAAGCTAGGTGATACTACTTGTCGGTGGGATACACGTCTAGTTGTACCTACGTCTACTTGTACCTACGTCTAGTTGTACCTCCTAAAAATCTGCAGGTACAACTAGTCGGGTGAGCCACCGTCTACTTGTACCTACGTCTAGTTGTACCTACGACTAGTTGTCCCTAGGCCTCGAGGTACAAGTAGACGGAGGGACAACGAGACGGAGGGACAACGAGACGCGGTCCCCAATTGAGAACTTTACTTTATCTATTGTTTAGTTGCAGTGGTAGAACATTATGGATTATATGGCTATAGTAGATGTGCTATACTTTTCTTAAACCATGTCCTCTCCCATTGCAAACGCAAAGCCAAGTATAACTGCAATAAGAATTTTATACTTGTACTCCAACGCCGTACGAAGAACGGGTACTCTGCTAGTTCTCCATAAGAATAATATTGTAATTTTAAATGTACAGTTTTTTGGAACTTTCTCTGTAACCATTAGGCCTACTATAACACTTAAGTATACTAAATTACTTGTTTTTTTTTAGCTCTACTAAGTAGTTTATAAAATTGTTATGTTTTATGTTTTGGTGGTCAAAAATGGGAAAAACAAATTTTACACCATAACCCATTCCCCACAGTATGATCATGCTGGTTCGCAAACTTGTTAAAAAAATGTAGGTGATTTATACATGATACATATAGGTTTTGTTAATAGGCCTTGATTGAACACTTATGTTCACTTCCGCACCACCAAGTTGTATTTTAAAACTTACCTCTAATCTCTTGTTCCTCAGAAACTCTAAGTTGGCCAGATATCCACAGTGATCCAAACAATACAACACTGCAGCAGGCTGACCACAACACAATAGCACCACCTCCTGCCAAGTTAACCACCAGTTGCTGTAACAGATGAAAATTCTAATTTGAGAGATATCATAATATTTTCCAGTAACTGGGATTGGAGAAAAGGGTTTGATTCAAAAATTTCTTGTTGCCTTCAATATACTTCATAACATTTGCATTCACAATTAATTGAGGTCATGTGATCTAAAGATAACTTCAATTTAAACTGCCCAATGTCATGTTTTTATTTTACAAAGTTTGAGGCAAATTTTCCATGTGTTTGAGCATAGGCGTAACTGGGATGACCCAAGAGGGTGGTGTTACACCCGAAGGTCTTGAATACCCCCCAGGGAACCGAGGAAAATGTTTGAAAATTAGACCTGTAAACTTGCGTTTTAGGCTATTTAGAGATATCTATATTTGGACTTTATGGACTCTGAAACCGTTCGACAGATTGTAATGAAACTTTTAGGCATTATTAAGCATTATTCAAGGATGGTTTGTGTAAAGTTTGGTGCAGATCCGTCAAAAGGGCTCCGCCCCAGTGGCTGTAGAGTTTCCCATGTTAACCTTATGAGTACTCATATTTAAATGGAATTAAAGAATCTTAACAGCTGTTTTGACTAAACAATTTAATTCTATGATGATCGATAGCATTAAAAGGTTACAAAATGTACCAACAGGGTGCAGCACTATTAATTGTCTAAATTTATGACAACAGTTGCTTTTTTCAACCAAGCAGCTGTGATACAAAATTATAACTGTCAAAGTAGGATTGTTTACAGTTATGTTTATCTAGTAGTTATGTTAGTTAGTAGTTATGTTTATGTTGTATCAGTTATGTGGGCATGTAGGGACATAAGTCCCTAAAAAGCTCAAAATGTAAAACAATTTATTTTCATATTCAAACAAACTAAGAATTAAATTATTTATTTGTCAAAATTGATATGCCTGTACACTATATCTTTGTCTAAAAAGTCTCTTTGCTTTGGTCGTTGTTTATGAAATCCACCGTTCGTCCTTTATGCGTTACAGGCGTTACTAAACGACCATCCGATTGTAATGAAACTTTTGGGAAGTAAATAAGTACTGATACAAAATGAACAGTGTTTTATTATCCACATTGAGTAATACTGGCTTGGAAATATAGCATGACTCTATTGTAAAAAAAATCAGCTGTATATGGCTTCCAATGCTACGCTTATGGGAAGCATTTGACGTTATATCTAAATTTCAGTTAAAATTTTGAGAATTCCATTGTTTTTCCCGCCGTCACGGGATAGAGACCTTTAATTTGAGCTCTCTCCTGTCGTTATACAACATCCCAGCCGCCAACAATTTTGACGAAAAGTATCAGTTTATGTACCATAAATATACAGATTTTTGATAGTGTGTGAATAAGGAGTTTTATTTTGTTAAGTGCGTAATTCATTGACTTATTGACCTTCTTCTTTCCAAAATGTTTATAAAAACCTATTGAATTTGTATGGTTTATTTCCCAAAAAAAAATGTCTGGGAAACAAAAGTAGCCAGTTAATATTTTAAGTTAATACTTTTAGTGGATTACCAAAAGTTTATCTACATACAGCAGACCTATGGAATAATAATTATTCTCTTAAATGTTATCTTCCCGTTGCGAAGCACGGGTATGGTGGCTAGGCTAGTATAAATCAAATATTTCAATTGTAAGAAAAAAATTATCGTAAAAATTAGTTTAAGGTCAAGGGGGTTCAAACCCCTAAACAGAGTGGGGCTCTGGATACGCCCCTTTAGGATTGCAGATACATTAATATAATAACTGCTGTATGATTATGCTTAGAACAAATCCCCCAGGTGTTAAATAGAGAATGTTTGTACTGCTTCGTGTGCTGAAACCAGACTGTTTTCATTCATTATTAAACAAAATCACGTCTCCAATACAACCACAAGAGATACTGGAAACAAAACACAAAGCTTATTGAGGATCCCAGAGGTCTTGTCACTAAAAACTATCAGAGAGTTAAATTAGTATGGGTATGTAATCGTAATTTATATTTTTAAATCTGTGATTATGTAAGTGATGAAAATAAAACTGGGAACAGGTTAATAATATTGCAAATAAGTGCAGTATTTCAATCTCTCAAAATTACCTTCAAGGATGCGTCATTCAGCCCAAAAATGACTCCATTTGGAATAAACATCGGTCCAGCAATTAGTCCAAAAAATCCTCCTCCAAAATGTACACCAACTGCATCCAAGGGGTCATCCACTATGTAATGTAAACTATAATTATTGCTCTTGTCGATATACACATTAGTAACACAAGTGAGTTTACCAAAAGCACTTTGCACCCCATCTATTTAAATACATTTCCTACTTTTGAAATAAAAATATCCCTGCTGCAGCAAACCTGCAGACTAAGGGAATTTCCATTTGCCTGATTTGATTTTAAATTAAATCTATATAAATAACATTAGGTTTAACAAATACCTATGTTTGCTGCTACAGGGAGGGTAATAAAGTGTGTTTTTAGTGAAATACGAGTAGCTTAGTATAAAATTAGTAAATTTGCCAAGTTTTATCGAAATATATCCATGAACAAGCAAACTACAACATAGTTTACTAAATTCTCCCTAAGAATAACATGGGAATTTCAAATTTTTAATTTATTCCATTTCGTCCGTAACCAATTACCGCACAAAAACACTCACATAAAAAAAAATTACTCAAGTTATCGCTTTCATGGACATATATATCCTTGTATATAATTCTGTAAGACAAATTTTTTACCAGAAAATTGTGGGCGTCTGATAAGTCGCAGAAAAGTGGGAGAGGTCTTAAATTAAAGGTCTTGACCCCAGGGACTCGGAAAAAATTGCAGAATTCCCTTAAAGTTACCAGGAAACGAGATATAACGTTGAATATCCACCATAAGAAAAGCATGGGGACTGAAAAGAGTCTGCATTCTAATCAGCTGTTTCTTATATATTTGCAATGTTTACATTTATTCCGAAAGTCAATGTTGTCAAATTATGTTTCAAAACTAAATGTATTTGTATAATTTTTTGTTTTCCGTTTTTATAATGAGTTAAGTAACTATACAGGGTATCGGAAGACCTGCAGGACGGGGAAGAGTATTCAGGAATTTTTTTTTCCGTTTTTATAATGAGTGAAGTAACTAGACAGGGTAGGTAGAGGAAGACCTTCAAGACGTGGAAGAGTATCCAGGAATTCAACCGACACAAGAAATGCTGAAAGAGAACGTCATGTAAGGCCTAACTATGAAAGAAATGCACAAGCTGGTTTAGACAACCTTCAAAACCTGCCTTCAAAACAACCTTCAGAAGAACGCTGGAAAATGAGTTGAGTGTTGTTTCTCACAATATAAGTCCTCAAAATGGCACGTGCATGCATTGTGGGGCATTTCACTTCGCAGAGGAGGCCACAAATGGACATTTCAACGCATGTTGCCACAATCGACTCATTACCATGCCACAACCAATTAAGCATAACTGGATGTTACAGGCTGATGTGTTTCTTTTGGAATTAAAGTTGGCACTTCACACTCATTGTTGCCTGTCAATGCATAAGTTGCTGACCTTTTTAGGACTAGACTGTCATCCCATAAGCTGTTTATGTTCTCTGTATTCATCTGGAGATATACGACTGTCATCCCAAAAGTGGTGTATGTTCCGTGTATTGACAAACTAAAAGAAATGTTTTTACATGATTCTAACTTCATAAAAAACGTAAGGTAATACAACAGTGCAATGGCTTTTGCGCCCCTTTCCGTTACACTAAAAGAGGTTCCAGGAAATGAGCCTTACTGTTTTAAAACTCAGGGTCAAATTCATAGATATATTTCTCACTTACTACCGCAAAATGTTGAGTTGCCTACATATGGACAATAGTGTCTACAAAAAGAATATTGGCCCCGGGCCTAGGTCTTACTGTGCCACCTATGGTAAAAGCTACTTCTCTATAAGGAAATTCGCTAAAAGGAATTTATTTAAATGTGTTTATATAGGTAAGGGATTACGTCTTCTTACAACTCACCATTTCTGTTATTTTAACTTTAAGTTTTATTGTAAATTTTGACTTCCCAAGTTCTTTTTAAGTCACCATACTTCAAGGCCATATCTTCATAATAACAAGTTTGATTCTTCCATATTGTTTATGTAAGTATATTCTAAGCAAGATGAGTAGCCTACATATTTGTTATATACCTATTAAAATTGATTTAACTAAATATTAAATACTTTTTGAAGGAAAAAAAATTTTGCAAGTTGTTTTAGGAAGAGGAATTTATCAAACTCAACTACCGTGTTCTTATTTTTGTATTGTTTAGTTAGTTCACTTTGTGTAGTGTTCTTCAGCCAAATGAGTACTAAAATATTTATATGATTTTTACAATAATTGATATACTTGTAACTTTAACTTTAATCATAGAAAATAACCTTGGAGTTTAAGGACAATATGTCGCACTAAGAGGAATGCCAGACAACCTCCTGCACCAACAACAAGAGCCATGAAAGGAGAATACTGGTCCACAGCACCACACACAGCTACCTAGAAACAAACATTACTAATGTCAGAGTAGGGAACAAATTTACGGTTTACCTATTTTGTTGTTTATCTATGGCAGTAAAATTGACGGTTTACCTATTTTGATGTTTATCTATGGCAGTAGCGTATGTGTTCTGTCAGGGAAAGGTCCAGACCCTGATCTAACTTATTGTTAGAAAGCAACATCATTTAACTGGCCCAATGACAAATAGCATTGTCTGGGTCTGGTAACGATATCGCATGGGATTAATTGTACCAGCAATCGTTAGATTTGAAGGGGAGCACTATAGACACTCGGTTATGGAGGAAATTTATTAATTAACCTAACATGGTAAATGTAATTACATATTTAAAAAACGTAAGAATAACACTGCTGGTTATCAAAGTATTTACAGTAAAGGCAAAACTGAAATACTCACTATCCCAGCAATGACACCGTTGAGTGTAATAGCGAACGCCCACTTCTTCTCCCCAACAAGTCCAAGTCTGCACAACACAAGCACTGTGACGGCTGCCCCACTGCCTCCCAGCACTGGCTAACAAAGAGACACATACAGTTTATTTGTAACAAGAAACTACCTGGCTTTACAATCAGAAGATCCAACAGTTTAATTGTTTATTATTTAGCAGTCTTTTTCTAAAGGGATATAACCCATCTCATCTGGGAACATTACAAACATTCCCATTTCATTGTTTCCTTTTCTTTTTTTAATAGGGTGTTGATTCAAGGTGGAATTGCGTCCGCGATCTCTCTTTCACGTGGTAATCTTTTTTGGGTTGTTGGAATTTTCTTTAAAGATAAGTTTCTAAGAAAAGTCTTACACACTTTATACACTTTTCACTTCTTATTGCTGCTATAATTAAAAGTTTAACTTCATTACAAATGTTCCAAAATTGATCTAATTTCTTTAAACGAAACACTGAGTATGCTTTACAGTACCTGTGTTTTGGACAATTTTTCCCAAAGCTTTTCCTCGTCCATTAATATGGCCGAGAGCTCCAGCATTGAACCCCATGAAACCAGAGATCAACAACAGGCCTCCTAGGCCAACCATCTGGAACATAAATAACAAGGTAAACATTAGATATGGAGGATATCCGTTTATATTATGAAAAAAGTAATGCATTCTATTGCCGTTCCTATAGGTATCGGTTTTAATAAATCAATCTTTTAAAATTTCTGTTTTTCCTGAAAATTTAAAGCACACAGAAGTAAAACCTCTTTTTAAGAAAGGACAAAAAGAAAATCATAATAATTATCGTCCTATTTTAGTTCTTCCTTCTTTTTCCGAAATTTTGGAAAAGATACCACTAAATCAATTTTTTTCATTTTTAGACGCACACTCAATTCTGGTCGCTGAGCAATTTGGATTTAGAAAAAGTCATAGTACAGTAGGGGCTCTAAGCAAACTTGTTAACGAAGTATCTTGGGCTCTGGATGGGTCACAGAGTACCATGGGGTCTTCTGTGACCTTTCCAAGGCCTTTGATTGTGTTAACCACATCATACTTTAAAAAAGCTTGATGTGTACAAATTTTCAAAGCAATCAATTACATGGATTAAATCGTAGGTACAGTACCTAGAAAACCGGTTCCAAAGAACTGTAATTATGAAAAATTATTTAGTAGGAATCAAAGTCTCCTTGGGAGAACATTAAAATGGGTGTCCCACAAGGGTCTATCTTAGGACCTTTGCTCTTTTTACTAAATATAAATGATTTACCTAGGAATGTTTCAACAAAAATAATTTTATATGCAGATGATACAACAACAATTATCAAAGCTAGGTCCCATTTTGAATTGGAGCATAAAATTAATCAAACTTTCTATGAATTGGCAAGCTGGTTTAAAGTTAATGGACTAAAACTTAATCAAGATAAAACCCAACTATTAAATTTTCGTACCACACAGTCAAAAGAAGGTTACAGTTAAAAGGTATCTTTCAGGACCAGTTGATACCACTCAGTGGCAGCGCAAATTTCCTTGGTTTGGAACTGGATATTATTTTTTCTTGGAGTAATTGTATTGATAATATAGTAAATTAAATTCAGCCTGTTATCAAATGCTAGTACTAAGTGTGTTGTTATTCATATGTGTTTATTAACATATGGTGTTAGAATATTATTTGTTTAGTTTTTGTTGGTAAACATTCTGGATCTTGATTTTATTGTAAAAACTACCTAATAAAGTATTTGTCTTATTGAACTATATTTTAATTTAACTTGCGATAACACTACATGGTGGCAGCGGGTTTTTTATTGTTTTAGCAATACAGTACATAAAGATGAAAGGTTTTAGTGTTCCTTCCCCAGAACATTTTGATTTTAACCCTTAGAGTGCCAGGCGAGAAATAAAAGTAACGCTCAAAAAATGCCGATGATTTTTCCCGAAGGTCGCGCTAAAAATGCCGAGCGCGATCTGGCGATTTTTAGGTTAAAATTTCGTAAAAATCGAATTTTTGATATTTCGACAAACGAAAATCGATGTATCGCATCTAGCAACTTTCGACTCAATGTTAATATATGGGTTAAAAGAATCCGAGTATTTATTCGGTTGTTATGACAGCTGTTCGATCATTACGAAACGTCCGGTCAGCCGGACGTTGGCACTTTTGGCTCGTTCTAAAAACGTCCGGTCGGCCGGACGTTGGCACTTTTGGCTCGTTTTAAAAACGTCCGGTTCCCCGGACGTTGGCACTCAAAGGGTTAAAGGAGAAAACTGGTCTAAATGGAAAACCCGTTTCTTGCGCTTTCATGCGGTATCTGGGCTCACCAATGAAGAAGAACCATATCAGGTAAACACCTTACTATATATGATGGGCGAAAAGGCCGAAAGCATATTTGAATCATTTAATTTGACATCTGAGGAAAGTAAAAGTTTCAAGACTGTTTTAACAAAATTTGATACATATTTTGCTCCTTCTAAGAATGTAATCTATGAGAGGTACATGTTTCATACTAGGGTTCAACATGAGGAAGAGCGTGTTGAAAGTTTGATTCATGATCTTCATGAGATGGCTTCTAGATGCGATTTTCCTGCTTCTTATAAAGATGAGGCTATACGAGATCAACTTGTTGTAGCGATTAGAGACAAAAGTTTATCTGAAAAACTACAAATGAATGCAGATCTAACACTTAATTCTGCTGTCTCAAATGTTAAGCAAGCCGAATCGGTTAAAATGCAACAATCATTAATGAGGTCCATGTCTTCTGAACATGCACTAACTGCAGATAAAGTCACTTCAAGGACTTGGGGCACTAAATTTGCTCAGAAACCTCCAGTTGATTCCAATTCGTCCAGTAACAAATACTACAATCAATGCCAGTGGTGTGGTAACGCTCAACATGAACGACCAAAATGTCCTGCCCGGAATATTTTCTGTCGAAACTGTAACAGGAAGGGCCATTTTGCTAAATGTTGCCAGTTCAAAAATGTCAAGGAAATAAATTCAAATCCTCTTCAAGATGAAGTTATTAAGAATGACAAATTTGTGGGGTCTATTAATCCTCAAAAGAATCCTAAAGCAAAATGGTCAGCTGAAGTTAAACTAAATGGAGTATGTATTCAAGCTAAGATAGACACTGGAGCTGACGTTTGTGTTTTGCCCCAATCACTTTATAAGTTGAAATTTTTTATGTACCCACTAAATTCAAGTAACAAAGTTTTAATTGGGCCTAACGGATCTGTCCTTAATATCTTAGGCGTATTCGAGGGTACAATCCAGTACAAGAATCAATATTGTAAGTCTCAGTTTTATGTAATATCTGGTGCTGATAGAACCCTTTTGAGCAACGAAGTTAGTGAAAAATTGGGTCTAGTTAAAAGGATGTTTCGAGTCAACTCAACTGGTTCATTTGATCCCTTTACATCATACCCTGAACTTTTCAGCGGTCTTGGTGATACAAAAGCTCATTATAATATAAAATTAAAGCCAAACGCTGAACCGTACTCTCTCAAAGTTCCAAGGCGTGTTCCCCTACCCTATAAAGATGCTGTAAAAAAAGAACTGGATGCAATGTTGGATAAAGGTGTTATCGTGAGAGTAGACATTCCGACTGACTGGTGTTCACCTCTTGTCATTGTCCCTAAAAAGGACAATTCAATAAGACTCTGCGTGGATTTTACTAAACTTAATGAGAGTGTTAAACGAGAACTATATCCTGTGCCTTCTGTAGACTACACTCTGGGACAATTAGATGGTGCTAAGGTGTTCTCGAAACTAGATGCTAACTCGGGTTATTGGCAAATACCCATAACAGAAGAAGCTTCATATTTGACTACTTTCATCACACCTTTTGGAAGGTTCAGATTTTTACGACTTCCTTTCGGGATTTCCACTGGTTCAGAAGTATTCCAGCGTCAAATGTCTGAATCACTTGAAGGGCTTCAAGGTGTTGTTTGCCATTTCGATGACATAACTATATACGGGAAAGATATGGAAGAACACGACAAAAATTTGCATAGTGTTTTGTGTAGGCTCCAGGAAAAGGGCTGGACACTTAATAGATCAAAATGTGTGTTCCGGCATGAAAGCATCAGTTTACTAGGTCATCTTGTAACTAAAAATGGTATTAAGCCAGATCCCTCTCGTGTTGAGGCTATCCAAAAACTCAAGACGCCAACTAATGTTAAAGAACTAAGGAGAATTCTAGGTGTTGTCAATTACGTAGCCAAGTTTATTCATAATTTGTCGACCATAGTTCATCCACTACATGCTTTACTGCAAAGAAATACAGAATTTGTTTGGGGGCCTGATCAAGACGAAGCTTTGGGAAAGATTAAACTGTCATTGATGTCCGAACCGTGTCTCGCTTTATACAGCATTTCTAAAGAAACCTTCCTCTCAGCGGATTCCTCGTCATACGGTATTGGAGTTGCACTACTTCAGCTTCAAGAAGATGGAACTAAACGTCCTGTGGCCTATGCTTCGAGAAGTTTGACATCAGCCGAACGTAATTGGGCTCAAATAGAAAAAGAAGCTCTAGCGATTGCATGGGGGTGTGAACGATTTGAACACCTCATTTTAGGGCTGCATTTGCATATTGAGACAGACCATAAGCCCTTGCTCTCCATATTCAAGATAAAGGACTTGGACAATATTACTCCCAGGCTTCAGAGAATACGACTCCGACTGATGAGATATACATATGATATTACCTACACGCCCGGTAAACAGTTGATTTTGGCTGATGCACTGTCTCGAGACACAGAGAACTCTGAAGAGGAATGGGAACTTACAGAGGAAATCCTTGCTTATATACAAAATATTGACACTACCCTACCATCTGTTTCGGATGAAAAGTTGCGAGAAATAAATCAAGAAACTATGAAAGATGAAACTCTAAAGCATGTGTCACAGTATTGTGTGAAAGGTTGGCCAGAAAAATCTAAGATTCCAGAGGATGTATTGCCCTACTGGTATCATAGAGAAGATATAAGTGAGCAAAATGGTATACTTCTCTTTGGAAGTCGTATTATAATACCAAATTCTCTAAGAGATAATGTACTAAGAAGTATTCATGAAGGACATCAAGGCATAACAAAGTGTAGATCTTTTGCAAAATTGACTGTGTGGTGGCCTCGTCTTTCTCAACAAATCAAAGAACTAATAGAAAATTGCAAGATATGTGCAGAAAATCGCGCTACGAGAGCAGAGCCGCTGATACCAACCCCTTATCCGGACAGACCTTGGCAAATAGTGGGTGCCGATTTGCTGAAGTGCAAAGGTCACTGGTATCTCTTAATCTCAGACTATTATTCTAGGTTTATGGAAATTGCTAGACTAAATGACTTAAAAATGGGCACTATAGTAACATATACAAAGTCCATCTTCGCACGTCATGGTGTACCTGAGACAGTGAGAGCGGACTGTGGTTCTCAATTTGACTGCTGTCAATTCAAACAACTTGGTCGTGATTATGGATTTAAATTGATTACATCAAGCCCAAAATTTCCACAAAGCAACGGCTTCATCGAAGCGCAAGTAAAAAACTTTAAGTACCACTTAGAAAAAAGTGATGATCCCTACAAAATGCTACTTATGTTAAGAGCAACCCCTCTAGAAAATGGGAAAAGTCCAGCGGAATTACTTTTCGGGAGAAGGATCCGCACTTATGTTCCAATAATGTCTGATCAACTAAGACCCTATCTGGTAGACGCTGAAAAGTTAAGGGAAAAGGAAGAAGCAAGAATTGATCGTCAAAAGATTTATTTTGACAAAAGACATGGAGTCAAAGAATTGCCTACTCTACCTGATGGAGCTCAAGTCCATATAAAGGACAGGAATCAAGAAGGAACTATATTAAACAAACATCCTGCACCTCGATCCTATATAATTCAAACGCAAGATGGTTGTTTGCGGAGGAACAGAAGATCACTGCAAAGATTTAGCTCTACTATGCCTTCAGACCACTCTCAACCAGCACTGCAGACCAGTCCTTCAGAACACCTCAGAAGATCAGAACCTTTCGATCATCCTGCAAGGAAATCGCAGACAAAACCTTTAGCGAATCTAAGAAGATCAACAAGACAATTCAAACCTACCCGGAGGTTCGATCTTTAAAGGGGAGATGTGTTGTTATTCATATGTGTTTATTAACATATGGTGTTAGAATATTATTTGTTTAGTTTTTGTTGGTAAACATTCTGGATCTTGATTTTATTGTAAAAACTACCTAATAAAGTATTTGTCTTATTGAACTATATTTTAATTTAACTTGCGATAACACTACACTAAGTAATTATATTGACCTTAAAACTAGAACTGATTTCTACTATGCTTTCTTTTTTTTCAATTATTAACTATGGGATTGAGTTCTGGGGATCATCATGTGATTTAGTTAAAGTTTTTAAAGTACAGAAAAGGTTTTTAAGAATAATGACATTCTCATATTTGAGGAAATCTTGTAAATCGCTGTTCAGGGAATTAAACATCTTAACTGCTCCAAATTTATACATATTCAAAACCTTAGTAATGGTACAAACAAACTATGAAAATTTATTAAATGATAATTTTGACCACAGATACAACACAAGGTTTAAAAATCATTTCAATTACCGATCCATCGTCTGCGTCTCATTGAAAAGACACCAACATACATGGGAAAAAAGCTGTACAATAAGTTATCACTAGGTTTAAAAAATGTAGCCAATACAATGTCATTTAAAAAGAATCTATCAAAGTTTTTAATAGAAAAAAACTACTAGGTACCATATTAATGAGTACCTATTTGTTGTAAACTATTTTTAAATCAAAGTCAGTATTTTTATTTTTATTTAATTTTTAACTATAGAATGTAAAATTACCAACTATGTATTTATTATAATTTGACAATGTCACCTGTTTTGTATCTATGCTATGTATAAACGTTTTCTGACAATAAAGTTTGATTTGATTTGATTTGATCCGTAGTATTTAAATAATCAAGTATTTCAATAATCAATTTAAAAATAAAACGTCCTCTAGATAAAAGATAGATTTAGGGAAATATATCATACAGGAAACGTAGCTGGTAACAGTATCTGAAACTGGAACTATCATTGTCTACTCTAACTTATTCTGTACGAATTCACTTAGTCAACATTCTGAAAACAACAGAAGAAACACTTCTAAAAAAATATAAAATACCCCCGCCGCAGCAAACCTGCAGACTAGCAGCGAATTTCCATTTACCGTGTTAGATTTCTACTAAAATATTCCCTTAAAATTGTCAGATTTATATCATATTTAAATAACATTAATTTTAATAAGTACTTAGGTTTAATGCAAAAGGGAAGGTATTGAGGTGTGTTTTATTTTTTATTGAAATGTTGATAGCTTAGAATAAAATAAACAAAATTGCCAAAACATAATATGAATATAATAATATGATAAAAATATATCCATAAACAAGCAAACTACAAAAGTTTTTTTCTCCATAAGAATAACATGGGAATTTTTAATTTACAATTTTTTAAATTATCTCCATAACCGTTAGGCATACAATAATGCTTCAATATACAAAATTATTTTTTTAACCTCCTACAAAATGGTTTGGAAAGATATTGTGAAATTTTGTGTTTTAGGGTTGAAAATGGGAAAAATTTACCTTTATAAAACAATTTTTACCTTATTAAACCCCCCATGAACCCCTGTTCCCTTAGTCCGATCATGCTGGTTCGTGAACTCGTACAAATAAATGTATGTTAACACTTTCGTACCAAATTTCATCAAAATCGGATCATTTTTGCTTGAGTTATTAAATGAATTTGAGCGGGGGTGTTTTTGGCCTCTGGGGACCTCAAAATGAAAAAGTAAATCGGTCCCGGGTCTAGGTCTTACCATGAGACCAAGAGTAATAGCTTATTCCCTGTATGGGAAATTCGCTAAAACAAATATCAAAATTTTTCTCTTAAATATTAATTTTCTGACTAATTCTATTAATTACTATTATTTTACTGAAAACTTACCGACATGGAATGGCCTGGCTTGTCTACAACTTTGCCGTCCTTAAATCTTCCAATCCTAGGCCCAAGGAACACTGCTGCTATAAAGGCACAAACCCCACCTAGCGAGTGGACAACTCCACAGCCAGCAAAGTCTAGGAAGTTAAGGGTCTTGAGCCACCCTCCTTCACCCCATGCCCAGTGTGAGGCAACTGGGTAAACAAACCCTGAAACCATCAAATTATAAGTTATATTTATTACTGCACCAAAGTAGATCAGCTTTTAGATCAGTGTTTATTTCAGCCAGAAATGCAGTACAATTTCATAAAAATAAATATATATTCCTTCAGCAATCACGATAATACACCATAATAAAATCTACCATCGTCACGTTCGTCTTTTACCAGTGATCAAAATTAGTGTGTAATTCATGGTTTTCCCAGTTTCCCGGTCTGCTGGAACTCTAATTAGGTTTTCAGAAAACGAAGCTTAGTTTTTATTTAAAATACAGTATACATTTTTTCTGAACAGGTAGTCCGAATCAGCTGAACGTCCAGATTAGCCAGTTTGGATCGCTGGAACTCTGGTATACGGTTTATTCACAGTACAGAAACAAGTTAAACTATAATTTTACCTAGGACATTGTTTGTCAGACGCGTACCTGAGATGATAGAACTGTAGGCCATGTAAGTGACAAAGGAACACCTCTCGGCCACAGCGCCAGAAAGGATTGTAGAGGCTGTGGAGGCAAAGACAAACTCAAACACCCAGAAGCTGTAGGAAGACACCGAGGCCCCTGCCCAGCCTGAAAATAGTTTATATTCACTCCTTGCTGAGTATTTTTATACCTAAACCATTTAAATTTAAATTTACTCACTTATTGACAGCAATATACAGAGTTGGGCAAAAAAGTATGGACACCCACTATTAACTTTTTAATGGGTTTCATCCGGAAAATCAAACTCCACACACCTTTATATGGCATAAAAGTGCACTTTTTTGATGGTACAGTATCCCAATTTCATCTGAAACCCCAAAATGGGTTATTTTGGGTAATCTCAAAGATTTTAAATGTAAAGCCCTATCAAAGTGACACCTCATTTTAAATGTCATTAGCCTAAAAGAATAGCAGCATAAACTGGAGGTCTCTATCTCAAACCCCATTACAGAATGGCTGCCATTTTTTTTTGGCCTGAGAGACCCATGTAAAAATAGTGTCGTGCTGTTTCAGCGCGTGCTCGTACAGCGCAGCTCTCTTGGGGTACCTATGTCCTACAGTACATATTTTGAAGTCCGAATATCCCAACCCCAAATACCTGTAGGAGGGTGGACAAGGGGTCGGTGAACCAGGGGTCCACCAAAATGGGTCCATGGGTCATTAGGAATTACCAGCTTCTTTACAAAGTTCAAAGTCCAAGTTAGTACAAAATATATTTGTTGTTCAGTTTTGTGGTTTGTGAATTAAGGTGAATTACTGAAAAACTGAATTTGTGAATCCTCGCTGAATAGTATTCAAGCGGTCTCCACAACTCCATCATAGCCTACTTAGTGAACTTGTTATCAAGACCCCATAAAAGGTAGTTTTAACACCACCACCTCCAAAGCTAGAAGAATGTAAAAGAATGTTGAACCATAGATAAAACACATTCCCTTGTGTTGGTTAGTCTATGGTTGAACAATACGACACGTATTATTGACTCACACAAGCGGCCTTGAACATCAAGCGTACAACTGCATCAAACTACGATTTTGGTGCTGGGGTTATCAAGGCTTATACGGTCGTTCGTAAATCATGAGAAAGCCCAAATCCAGTTCCGCTAGTTAATTGAAGTACAAAGCTGGTAGACAGACAGACGGACGGGCGTTCCAAGAAGGCTGCGCTGTACGAGCACGTAATCTTAAAAATATTACACCATTATCCCCTATAACGTTTTTATGGGTTGTAACAGGAAAAACTACAATTCTGTAACAAGAAACTAAAAACTACTTTTTGGTTTGTATGACAATTTTGCCCGGTACTCCATTGTGGGATATTTTGTAGGTAGCTCAATTTTTTTAAATGTTCACCCCATCAAGTGATACCTCATTTTGAAGGCCATTAGTTTTAATTAGAATCAGAATAAACTAGAGATCACTTTCTCAACCCAATACAAAATGGCGGCAGTTTTCAGTTTTTAGTTTTCATCATCTCAAGAGATCCCACATTAATATCCAATATTTACATTTTATCAGGTTGTACCAGGAAAGCTTACTATCCCTTGATAAGAAAAACAGTGTACTTTTTAGTTGGTATCACAATTTCCCCTGGGAACCCCAAATTGAAGCATTTGGGGCAGCGGCCGCTCATTAATGATAAATGAGTAGGAGTAACTTAGAGTTAGAGTAACTCGCATGAAAACTAAAAACTGCCGCCATTTTGTACTGAGTTGAGATAGAGACCTCTAGTTTTCCCGGATATCCTTTTTACCTAATGGCCTGCAAAATAAGGTGTCACTTGATGGAGCTTTACGTTCAAAATATTTGAGTTGCCCCCAAAAAAACCCATTTTTGGTTTAAAGACAAAATTGGAATACCAACAAAATAAACGGTATCAGAAATCTGACGCATACTTTCTCTCATTAGCTTGTCAACAACCTTTATTGTGGTTAAGGGGTAGGGCAGGGCAACTGGTAAAATAACAAAAGCTGCAATAACTTTTGAATTGTAATTTTTACAGCGATGGGGGGTTGCACTATTTTGTTTATAAGGACAATAACAAACCTAATAATTTTAATCAAAACGGGCTTATTTCAAAAATCTGATTTTCCGTTATTTTTTTTCTATGATAAAAAAGGAAAAAAACTCCTGGAGATACCATGGATTAGTACTTCGTACCAAATTTCATCAAAATCGGACCACAGGGGTGGTCTGTAGCTCTGTACATATCCACACGTACAGACAGACACACCCTCATACACACACACACACACAAACATACACAGACATCACTTCAAAAAACACTTTTTGGATATATCCACTCAAACTCGAAAATTTGACGAAAACTAATTAATACTTTCTCCATATACTATGGTATAGGGGGAGAAAGTAAAAGTGCACTTTTTTACCATATAGAGGTGTGTAGAGTTTGAAAAGTTATTAGGGGGTGTTCATACTTTCGCCCATCCCGAGTCCAAACTTTACTTTTGACATACTTTTTAATACCGAGTGGAATTTGAGCTCACATTATCATCTGTTTATCATTTGTGTGGGTGAAATATAAATTGGAGATAGTGAATATGGTTGTGCTGTTTTATGTGGTAATTGGCCCCAATACAACAGTATAATTAATTATTATCTTCTTTTACCTACTGTTATCATATCACCCCAACAACATGGTAGCAGAGCTAATAGGAGGTATTTCAGACCACCCAAGGTTGGAAGAAGTACAGTAATTAGTATGGTTACTACGAGAATGTGAGTCAAACAAAAGGTTGATATGCACAATATAATTTAAGGCTCTGAGGATAAGAGGATTTAAATATGTTGATGAACCTAAATAGCATCAAAATGATTTTTCAATCAATATTTATCATAAGTTAAATTTATGTAGTATAAAATATATAAAAAACTGTACATGCAAAATCCTTTGGTAGGTACCTATTAATAGGACCTAAATTCTCTCATAATTTTAGGTTCTTTTTGATAAAATAATAAACATTTGTTTATTTTAAGCTGGCTACTGTGATTTATTTCATTCGACTCTACTATGCTAATTATAATACACTAAAATCTTAAGTCTTAGTTGTTTGTTTGTATATCATACTTTTAACCTTCTCTATTAGTACAGGAAGAACAACATTTTTCCATTTCTTTATTTTGTTGGCGAGAGACTGGTACTGTATTTGTTGCTGACCAACGACTAGAAACACTGTGTGTTGTGTGGTCAAATTTTGATTAATCTATATAATTAATACGCGACATGAAACTTTGTCGGTTGAACTCCTCCACCATTTCTTAACCGATTTTATCCATTGACGTCACATTGAAAAGAGCGTGTCGCGTAGATTTGCAAACTTGGCCTTACATTTTTTAAAACGTCCCTTGGGCTCTGCCCCAGTGGCTTTGAATGTTCCCACGTTATCCTTATGGAGAACATAATTGTTTACATTTTGATCCGCTGTATAATTTAATTGCTGTCATTTATTTTTCAATTCAATGAAGCGCATTGAGTACATTTATTTACTATTTGATATTGTGTAAACATAACCTCCAAGACGGATCGTGTTAGTATGGTTGTTTCTTAAATTTGTGTATTTATCGTTGTTTTGTGTCGCTATGACGGATCGTGTTAGCATGGTTGTACCTTAAATTTGTGCGTTTATCGTTGTTTTGTGTAGTAAATGCACCAGTAGCTGACAGTGCTCCAGAAGCTGACAGTTTGAGTTTCTTTACATTATAATGTGGTCTCTTAAAAATATGTACACATGATTGCATTGTTAGAAGAACATGTTTATTCTTGATTTGTTTACAAACAAATCAGTGAAATTTTGCCCATACTCGCTAAATGGTGGTGGTTTGAAAGCGACCCTGTCTGTGCACATCACATTTAGTCGATTCCATTAATGAAATTGTTAAGAAGATAAGTTTGGTTTTTTGTCATTTCGCTAAATTTCTTAAATAGTATTAATGATTAGGCTAATTATTTTTATCAATTATACCTTTGTTGACAATTTCATGATAAAATTGGGGTGTTAGGGGTTTTGGATTTAAAATTATATCAATGTCAGGCTTTGGTACACAAAAGCCATACAAGTTCCACTAGCTGACAGGGGATATTTGCTACTTGCACAATATTAAATTGGTTTTACCCATCAAAATTTGCATGCTATTTCAAACATTTTAATTTTTTAATTAATAAGCCAAATTATCTTAAAAAATTTTAATTTTTTAAAAATATATATATTTTTTTTATGTAAATATTTTTTTTTTAAATATGTAAAATAAATTTTCTTAATAACGTTTTACATGATTTTATAATTTAATTATTAAGTTAGATTTTATTTGTCTTATAAATTATAAAACCCTTAGGTTTAGCAGCTATATAGTATATAGTACATTTATAGTTCCAGTGTCAGCTACTGGGACAACTGACAGTCAGCTACTGGTACAAGCACTTTTTTCACTGTCAGCCACTGGAACGCGTACAAAGGTTGAAATAAGTTTAAAAATGTTATAAAATATATATAAAAAACCCTTTTTGTATGACAAATTTGAAAACTACACTAAATTTAGAATCACATAAAATTCTATAATATCTCTTTAGTTCCTATTTATTCAAAACCACGGATTATTATGTGTGTATAGTTTCTTATACTGTCAGCTACTGGTGCGTTTACCTTAGCTATAATTTGTTTATTTCTTGTTTTTTCTTTGTTTTATGCCTCCGACGCGACGACAACGAAACATAGACAGGAGGCCTAATTGTGATAACGACCGCAGCTACATAACAGTGGCGCGTAATAGCACAGAAAACATAACATAGTAGTATGTTTTCTGTGGTAATAGGCTTAACTCATCACAGTCAGCACCTGACCCTGGGCAATCTCAACTATTACAAATGGGGGCTACAAATGCGCCCTAACACTATCCCAAAAAGACTTTTCGTTCTCAATTGGCCCTCTATCAATGACCTGTGTTGCCTGTACAGCGAGGCATTTTGAGAAGGAGAAAACCGACTGGAATGCTTTAGGTTTATCAATAACAAAGATAAACATGGTCTGAGTTACCGGTAATCTTTGAGTTGATTCTTTTAAACTCATTGTAAATATGACTGTTATTAGTTTTTTTAAATAACTCCTGTAATCCTTTGCAATTGCTCGAATTCGAGCAACATGTACACTAGTGTAAATTTATTCGTTAATTTTGAGTACGGTAGATTGGATACCTTTTTATCCAATAATAATACATTTTGTACCTCATCTCAGTAAAAACTTATAGCCTATACACAATGTAACAAAAAAGTCAGTGCAAATAAAAAAAAAGTTAAACTATGCAGCTCAAGCAATAGTAGCTAAGACCTTCCCTTTGAAATTTAAACCACCAGTATTTTTAAGAAAGTTGAATACGTTTTTGTGATGGATAAACATCCTCCAACAGATATACCTTAACAAAAGTGTGAAATATTGTACGTAGATGATTGAAGTTGTAGGAAAACAGTTAAGTTATATAGCTAATAGAAAAAATCGGGAAAATATATAGTCTTTTTCCCAGCATAAACATTTGTGTATTCAATCCATACTTGACAATTGACATTAGTTTTTAAATAATGTTTAATCAGAAATCAATCCTTAAATACTAAATCTGGAGATAGATCCAACAAAATGTAAATATTATATGTTTTACCTGAGTATCCAAAGAAGGGGTTTCCATCCGTGTAGGCCAAACTGTATCCCACCAACCAGTAGAAGATAGCACAGATAACTTAAACATAAAATTTTCATTTTTAAACATTCTCAGGTAGAATTTATTTTTATGAAAACTCATAAAATCGAGTAGACTGGTTGGCCTATTTGACCTATTTGATAAAAATATTCCTCTGGCAGCAAACCTTGTTTTCTTCATAAAGCAAATCGATATTATAAAGAAAAAAATTGAAAAACTAGTGTTGATGAAATTATTTTGATTGTCATATGGATGTGTTATGTCATAGACAAATAGAGTAAATAAATACCTACTATACATACATAACAAATATACGGTAGGTTTATACAAGGCCCCACTAGAAAAAACAGGCCATGCTGCAGCGCGGGTAGCGCAAAACTACGTCACAGTGGTGGATTGTACTAAACTCTTACCATTAAAATCTTAATAACAGCCAGCTTGTTTATTTACCTAAAACATATGGGAATGGTGATGGCAATGAATTTATCAATGAAATCAATCCACTAGTGTGACGTCATGGATCCTGCAGCATGGCCTGTTTTTTCTAGTGGGGCCTTGGTTTATAGCGAAAGTGTGACGAGTAAATAAGTCTTAAAATTGCATCCACATTACAAAAAACCATAAAATATGTAAAAATATTGATTCTATTATTTAAAAAATGGTGACCATTTTCCAAAATAGCAGCAAACTTGAAAAGTGGAACCATTGTATTTTATGGTCTTTTTGGAATTAAGATGCAATTTTAAGACTTATTTACTCTTTTTGCATTTTTGCTCTAAACCTACTCGTTTAGGAGCTACATAATGCAAAATGTACAGCGCAAGTCATTTTTTTATAGGCTATAACTCCTAAACGAGTAGCTTTATCGAAAAAAATGTCACGAATAAAAAAGTTTTTAAATTACATGTTCTATCCGAAAACATGATTAAATGTAGGGTGTCCTATAAGAAATTTCAAAGTTGGCCGCCATTTATTAATTAGTTACTACAAAAAATAAAGGAATGTCCCTCTATTTAAAGTTTTCTCACCGTTTCCGATATCCCAATGGTGGCCTCCTTGAGTTGATCACCCTATTTACATATATAAAAATTTGAACGAATGGTGTTTTTGGCCTCTGGAGACATCAAAATGAAAAAGTAAATCGGTCCCGGGCCTAGGTCTTACCGTGCCACCTGTAGTAATAGCTTATCCCCTATATGGGAAATTCGCTAAAAATTGTAATTGTATTCAAACCATAAACATGCAATCCACAACTCCATTTATGGAGCTGTGATGATCAAATTTATGTTGTTTATGGTTATTATTGAAAAGGTGAGGTTGTCATTAAAGTTTCCCCAAAATACAAGAATATGCCTTCTACCAGTTAAGACCTAAACTTCCAATTTAAACATTCGCAACTAGGGACGTTGCGATACTATTGATACTAGTAGGTATCGGTACTGTTATCTCGATACAAGTGGTATCGGTTTTGAATCAAGTGATACTTTATTGGTTTCGAAAGAAAATTTGCAGTATCGGTATCGAAAGAAAGTATGCAGTATCATTATAACTAGGATTGCTTTCATAGCAGTGATAGCCATCAGTTGAGCCGATCTGGGGCCCATTTCATAATAAACTACAAGTTACAAGTTACAACTTGTAACTTGTAATTTCCATAAGTTTTGCATTGGGTGATCAGCTGATTTACTAATAATATTAGTTTGAACTTTATTATGAAATAGGCTCCAGGTTTCATAGTTTGTAATAAAGCAATAAATAAAAATAACGTTTATAGATATAATACAACTATTTCATCAATTTTAACTTATCAATTTGTCTCAGAACTATCAACATCTATAACAATAAGTTTCATAAGTAAAGATTTGGACATTACATTCATATAGACAATAGACAAAGACAAAGCTTTATTGTACATAACGCCTGAATCTAAATACAATAATTACAAAAGTAATTCCCAAGCTGCAAGCTGGTACATGGTCAATTTATAATCTGGGTTCCTTAATCTAAATTATACTTTTCTGGCTCAAAGTCTCTTTCAGCTTATATGTAAAATTTGATTTTGATAAAGTTCTGTATGAATTAGGTAAATGATATATGCTATATCATTTGTATGGTATCTTTCCTGTGTTTGCTTGCTAATGTCATCTGGTGAACCCACTGTTTTGGTTGAACCCGACCTTGAACATAAACCAATCAGCATTTTCTCAATCTTGGCCTGATTTTACAATTCAGGCAGAAATACCTGCATTTGATCCATAGGATTAGCAGATGAAACTTTTTAAAGTCTTGCCTGCTTTGAGAGAATTGCACAAATAGTTGTCACCTATGGGAAGAGAGGGAAACAGGTCCACAACGTAGGGGGTGGTGAAGGAAGTAGTATAGGTGAGCAGTGTTGAGTGTGGGAATGGATTAATGTATCTGCAATGCTAAAATGCTATGGGAAGAGACTGTAGACTGTAGGTTAAAATGATTACTAAGCACGAATTGATACATATTTTCGATACATGCAATAGTTTACAATAGAAATTTACTGAGTTGACAACAGCTGATTTTTACGCCATAGAGGATAAAAACGATTTTTACTCCCTAAAGAGTAAAAATGCTACTTTAGACCCGCAACGCAAGCATTAAAAACTTCTGTTTTTACTGCAGTATGACAAAAACAATATAATATGAACCCTTGATGACTCCGCTCAATTTTGTGGATGCCTCTGTGAACGCCACCTAGTTAAAACAGTAGCCTATTGAGTATTGACTTTTGATTTATTATGTAGTGACAAGATAAAATTGTATTTAAATTATTAAAAAGACATTGAAATGTAGTTAATATTATTAACTGGAAACAACTAGTTAGGTATTATCTTGTAAAACGAAAACGAAAACGCAAAAAAATACTTTATCCTTACTTACTTGGACAATAATTTGCCCAAGTCATTGCCAAAACAACACAATCAATGTAACAAAGTGGTTTGCCAACACGATGATATCATCAAAAATATTTCAAATTTTAAAATAGGTTAAGAAGTATATAGAACGCATAGACCGTGTTTTGTTGATATAATAGCCAAAATAAACATTAAAATTTTTGTTGTCACATAAATATTAATCTAATAATTTAACAATATGCTTTATTGGATCAGCTTACGTTCCCACATGAAACAACAAGTATTAAATAGGGTTTAAATTTCACAATATCAAAAGTAGTTGCACTGTTTAAAGTAAATAATAATTTCCCATGTAATATAAAAATTTGAAATGCAAAAAACCTGGTGCAATCTGTTGTAGTGGTCACCAACTAATGACAATATTCTGTGTTAAGTTATAAATCAATCAGCTGTTTGCTATGATACTGCATTATAATTAACTAGCTGTAACCCGCGGGCTTTGCCCCGTTTAACTTCTTAATTTTCAAGATTATCTCGTTCGCATGGCTCAATCACGCCCTGGTTGAAGTTTGTTCGCTACGCTCACTCACCTTTAGGTTGGAGCTCGTTCGCTACGCTCACTCACCTTTGGGTTGGAGCTCGTTCGCTGCGCTCACTTGCCTTCAGGTTAGCTCGTTCGCTACGCTAAATCGCCTCCAGGTTTAAGTTCGTTCGCTACGCTCACTCACCTTTTGGTTGCAAATTAGCTGTTGTCATAAATGTAAAAGAAATATAAGTGCTGCACCCTGTTGGTAATCCTTGTAACTTTAATGCTATTGAACATCATAGAACAGAACCAACTTGTTTAATTGAAACAGCTGTTAAGATTCAATAATTCCATTTCTCATAAGGTTAACATGGGAAACTCCAGAGCCACTGGGGCGGAGCCCGAAAGGATTTTTGAAATAAGAATATGCCTATATGTTAATCGGGAATGTGAGCTATCATCATGCCAAATTTCAGCCCAATCCGACCAGTATTTTTCGCGTTCACTTGTCACAAACATACATCCACACATCCATACATCTATACATCCAAACTTTCTCATTTATAATATTAGTAGGATATTCAACTCAATACACTAGTAAACTCTGGTGAGATGGTCCTGAACTTCATCTATTTTCTTGGCTTCAAACTTTCATATTATATGGGAAGTCTATTCTGTGTACCTATTGTCAATTATAATATGAAAGCATGTTCATAATGGTCTATTAAGATAAAAATATTGATTTAAGAATACTTGTTATTTCAAACTGTAGTAGTTGAAATGTAGATTAGTCAATGTAGATTAGTAGTGTAGATGTGTCATTAGTCATTTATGTAGTGATACATGTAGTTTTAATTCCCAATAACATGAAATAAATTGTATTTGTTATTTAAGCTTTATTTAGCTACATAAATCAAATCTGTAAAATACTGTACCTATTCAATCAGTGGCGTGTCCAAATTGCAACGTAAATGTAAACTTAAGACTTTTCTCTGTATTATTTGATCAGTGGTCATCATCTGGATTTTTTCCTTTGTACTTTGTTTAGGTCGTGGCTTAATTTTTACATATGCTATGATTCTTTGGTTTGTTTAAAATTAATTCGTTATTTTGTAACCATCATGGCAACCCATAAGGCCAATGTTAAAATTTAAAAACTTTGAGTTACTTTTAAATTATATCTAGGCATTATCAAAAATTTAATTAGTTTGGTCTAAACCTTCTAAACATTTGTCAAAACAACCTGGTAAAGTTTGGCTAAAATATGTTCAGCCATTATTGAGTTAAAGTGTTAGAAAGTTTGCAAAGAAGTTGATCCCAAAGAGCTTCGCTTCGCCCTGCTCAAAAAAGTACCTAATCGAGACCACAAAAGTTTGCCGTTGGCGACAGCCAATCACAAGACAAGCCTAGTTTCGACGTTGCCATATCACCCGTTGACACTAATTAAAATACTAAACAATATTTTCAAATCAGATGGTATTATTAGATTTGGCAACACCGCACTGTCCTCATTGGCTCCTTCAAAGTCACGTGGTAAATAGGCTCCACCCTCAACTGCAAACTTTCGTGGTCCCGACTTTAGTAATATTTTCTCTAAAATGTACTTTTTCTTTAGAACCCAATAGGAAACAGATATCTTTAAAAGTTTGTTTGTTAAAAAAGTTAAGGCTTTTTAATTAAAACATGCTTTAATTTGTACTATTTAGTTGGAGCTTAGATCAATCACCATCATTGATAGATCCTTCCGCATCGCCTGTTTCATTTGAAATAAGTTAATTACCTCGCTCTTCCTAAGCACTAAAAAACAATCAAATTCTTATAAAATAAACGTGGATTTAATCTTGCATTAAAAGCTGTGTTATTATTTTTCCATCAGTCATTTATTTATAAGTGTTGAAGCCTAGCCTGGAAAAGAGCTTGATTTCATGACAATAGTTATTTGTGCAACTAGTGAGAAAAGTGAGCAATTGACTCACTCGAGAGAAATCCTTACTCACGAGCCGTAGGCGAGTGAGGAATGGTTTCTCGAGTGAGGCAATTGTACTTTGAACTCGAGTTGCACATTATACTTTTCCTACAGTTACCATAAAACAAATAAATTTGTGAAGAAACATAACCTATTTTTACACAGAAGTGTACTTTTAATATAACATTTAATGTGAAGTGACAAATACAACAGTACAACAGCTGACCAGCTGATTTACAGCCAGTGCTGCCAACGTATTTCGCGCGCATACGACGTTGCCTGCATGCTACGCGCTCACTATTTCGTGCCTTCACGTTGCAAATCTGGAGTGAGACAAAGTAATTAGAGTGAGACAATTTTAACATTGTCTCACTGATGAGCGAATTGGCCACTTTGCTTTCTCAAATCAGTGAGAGAACATGTACATTGTTAGGTAACTGTAGGAAAAGGTAATTAACTTTAAGATATTCAAAGGCATAATTTGAAGATGGATAAAGGTTAAACTTACGTGTAGGTACAATTTAAAGAGTGTCTTACAAACCCTACAAGGTCAAAGATCTATGAACTTCATGAAATGTTATTGAATAAGAATAAGTAATAACACTTTAATCAATGCTTGGCTTAGAACTTATCTATTTGATACTATAGGTACAGTACTTATTTGATCCTTACAGTATATTGATAGTTTTGTTGTAATATTCCTGTGGTATCGATACTGCAGTTGCGATATGGTATTGATACCAAGTATTGGAAGGTATCGCAATTAACGTTCCTATTCACAGCCCAGAGTGACACTACTGCTGGGAATCAAGTTTGTCACTGCAAACCAACAACAATGAATCCTGAACCCTGAACCTTAAAAATCCTGGTAACCTTTTTCCTAAGCTTGTATGAAAGTGTTCAGATATAAACCATTCTTGACTCCTAGTTTGATTTTCCAACCTTGTCCCTGACTTGCTGGCTGTCTATTTGAATTATAATGTAATGGACAAAATAACTGTATTTTATTACTAGAATTAAACTAAATCCGTTTCAATGCTCTAAAAACTAAAAAATAAAAAAAATCCATCATGTTCAGTTAAATTTATTTTTAAATCCTGAAAATCATCATTACACTTTATTCAATTGTTATGTTCTCGAGACAGTATGGTATACTTACATGTGTCCAATACATTTTTTAAAATGATATTTGTTACATTTTTGGAGTTGATACAGCCTGCTTCAAGACTGGCAAAACCAACTTGCATGACTGTAAAAGAGTAAAAATTGTCACTTTTTATCCATGAGTTTTTATTATCAGGATTAAATTTGATATATAAATTTAAATACACATAGATGATAGGTCCTGAGTTATTGTTATAAAATAATTTAGTACATACCGGTATCTTATTATTGGACAAGCAACTGATAAAGTGTTGATGGTTTGTTTGCATAAGATTCAGCATCGCTCCACCAAAAACATCATATTATTACTACAGTAGAATATAAATAAATAGGTTGAATACCTTTTTCACGCCATCAATCCTAGTGGTTTTCTAAAGATGACTATTAGTTTTGAGGCTTGCAGCCCCATTGTCAAATCACTTCATTAATTGTTGATAAAATACAAGTTATAACAGTTCCACATATAGTTCTCTACTTCGCGCGGACCGATATAATATGAGTGTACTGGTCATATTATAAACAAAATGTAGTTTGTTTAGGCTAGAAATTGAATGTGTTGTGTAAAACTGTGTGTATGTGTGTATGTGAGTGGATCTGTGACAACTTGTGTTTTAACAACAAATAATCACATATGATATGACAATGGGGCTGCAACTCTCAAAACTGTAGTCATCTTTAGGAAACGACTATAGGATTGATGACGTAAAAAAGGCATTTAACCTATTTAGAAATAAATCAAAAGGAAATGATCTTTTTTCAGTTATGATTCGTCTCTATGATAGATCATAAGCTTTAAAATTACGTTTCAATCGTAAAAATCTGTTTAGTAGAACGGCTGAAAAAGGGATGTTACAGAAAAAACGTTATTGTAATACTCACATGAGGTTATAATGGCGCAGATCACCAAAAACATGTCATTAACATCGTTTGTCAAATTCACGATTTCCCTCTGTAGCATATCCAGCGTCAGATTGGAAGTTGCAATCCGCGTCAAGTTTTCTGAGACCAACTGCATTGCCATGGGCTGCATGACGATCATCTCAGCCTGGCCCGCCATGGTCTAATAGTGAAGTCCTCTGTTAAACTGAAGGTTCCAACTTCTAGTTCGGTACAACCTCAAGTTGGTATCTCTTCCACAATCAGCTTGTTAATTCTAAACCACGAGGTTAATTAAGTCAAAGTGATAGTAAGTTCTTTCCTATTCACTTCAGGAACAGGTAAACACTTAGTTAAGTCACTGTAGTTATCGGTTGTTTCAAGGAACAATTTTAAAATTTTAAAAGGAAAGATTAAAGGAAATTGGTCTGTTAATATACAATTGGGTGCTGATTAATTTTAATTTTGGGTTGCTTTAAATAATTGAATACCGTAGTTCTTTCTTGGTGACTTCCTGTTTGCAATCAAATAGTTGTTAAATGTGGACTTGCATGTTTGTCAGTTTATTAACACAATCACAAAGTGTAGAATAAATTAGGTATAAATAAGAGATGCAGAACTGCTCACAACTCACAGAAACAGGATTGAAATACAGACATAAAGCAATCCATCTGTAAATTCATTACCAATGTTTGATGGCTCATGTACCAATGGAAACCCTCAATGAATGAAGAATATAAACAAATGGATGGATGAAATGCTTTAGAACATACTATACTGTAAATGAATTCTCAATTATAATTATACAAAATCATGAATTATCATTGTTACACAAATATGAATTGATTAATTGTAATTTTGTAACTGACACATGAATATTCTCTAGGCATACCTACTCCAATAAAGAACTTGTTTTCCTGTGTTGCCTTATATTGTTAGCATAGTCTTCACTTCATAGTCCAATAGAATTAAATACACTATGCATGTTTTTTTTTTCATTTCCACAAATTTGTCTAGTGATTACTTCCTTCTCATTAATTAATTAATCATACCTAGTATTTTTGTATACTGTAATATTTTAGTATTTTCCAATTCCATCCACCTGTATATAGCCAGTGTGTAGCCATTAGATGTTAAAATGTACATATTTCTAATGAAGTTGGTTTATTTATATGTTCTATTTATTTTCATAGTTGTTAATTGTAACTGCTAATAAAAACACCCCTCCCGCATCAAACCTGCAGACTAAGGGAATTTCAATTCGCCTGATTGGATTTTCACTTATATCTATCTATCTATATATTAATAGGCAAGCATGTTTCTTTAAAACCTTTTTTCTCAGCTCATGTGCCTCATAGGGAAAATCTACTCATACCGTTAGAAAGCTATTTTCCTGTAGGTGTGCAGAATCCCTTTATAAATTTAAATAGGCTCAAAGATAAGCGCAAAAATGAGTTTAAAAATTTGAAAAAAATTACATGGATCTTATGCGTTGCCATGCGGTGACGAAATAACAACGAAATATAAACAGAAAATCAAAACAAATGGAAGAAACTCCAATCACATGTTTTATTTACAGTGTGGGGTGAAAAATTAACATAAGTGAGTACATCACATATTTTTGGTCGAGTTTCGACCACTGGACGACCTCTCGTATATATTTAAATAACATTTCGGTTTAAGGAGTACCTAGGTTTGCTGCTACAGGAAGGGTAATTAAGTGTGTTTTTGGTCAAATATTCATAGCTTAGTATAAAATAAATAAATTTACCAAGTTTAATCCAAATATATCAAACAAGCAAACTACAACATTTTACTTATTCCCCATAAGAATAACATGGGAATTTTAAATTTACAACATTTTGAATTTTTTCCGTAACCAATAACCATAAAAAAACACTTTGATAATTAACAAATGTATTTGTTTTTTTTAAGCTCTTTAAAATGTCAATTTAAAGATAAACTGGAAAAATCTTGTGTTTTGAGAGTCTAAAATGAGAAATCCCAATTTTTACCCCATAACACCCCGTTCCCTAAGTTCGAGCATGCTGGTTCCTGAACACATTGGAATTTTGTAACGGCCTACACCTTTAAGCCAAATTTCATCAAAATCTGTTATTGCGTTTACGGACGTGATAACTTGAGTAATTTTTGTCCAATTTTGATTAAATTATTTATACATACATAGGCTCAGTGCTTGATTTGAGGGGGAACGTGGCGGAACGGAGTTCAGGTACCTCTCTTTCGGAAATATTAAAATATTGGCATAAAGGTACTAATCACACTAATTTGGTTACATTGTGCTGGTACTTCTTTTATTACAAATCTAGCACTGTAAATAAGAATAGCGTTTTTGACCTCTAGGGACATCAAAATGAAAAAGTATACCAGTTCCGGGCATTGGTCTTACCGTGCCAAATTATAGCAGGCCTATATGTAACAAAGTGAAAATTATAAGTTCAAGTTTATATTAATTGTGTAGTAAACTTGCACTAAAAGCTAAAATACAGCAAAACTAGCAAATACATATACTGTTCACATTTGTATTGTTGAACAATAAAAACAGCTAATTTCAATAATATAAATAAATTGTAAACAAACACTAGCGCACCCAAGTAGTGGGCAAATAGGGAACTGATCAAGAACAAGAGAAAGTAAATTTAGAGCATCAAGGGAAAGTCAGCTGAACTATTTTCTCTTGCTCAAATTAGAGCTTGGGAAACGTTTACTTTCTTTGATATCAGCTGTTATCGAAAATAGCTACTTTCTGTAAGGATCGTGATGACAAAAATATTTAACCTGAAGAGAAATAATTGGACCATTTCTTTATGTAGTATTGTAATGTGTAAGTGTAAGACTTACATGTTTTCGCAACCCTCTGAACTGAGTAGCGTCATTCTTTAAAAAAATAACACTCCCTGACACCCATTGATCATCACTTAACTGAGCCTCAGTCAATTTGTTTCTGGAATGTTATTTTGTTGTTTTTTTAGATCTTTTCCTCTTGGGTTTCACACCCATTATGAACAATGACCAGTTATTACACCATCAAGATTGCATCAAATGTGTTCTTTTAGGAGATAAACCTGTCTTCTATATGATTAAATCCAATATTATTAATTTTAGCCTACTTAAATAACAATTAATTGTATTATCAAATTACAACTAATCAAAATGTACCCTTATACTTGATATTGAGACTACTCTTTCCTAGAGTTGTATGGTTAGTAAACGTAGGCTATCAGCAATCCGACACTACTTCCACTAGCTTGTCAACATCTCTTGGTAAGCAGTGGGAGTAATGATTTTTACGGGGAAAATCTCAAAAGTTGCAATGTTGCAATAACTTTTGAATCGTAATTTTTACAGCAATTAAGGTTGTAACATTTTGTTTAGAGTTAAAAGGACTATAAAAAAATGTTTAATCAAAAACGGTCAAACCGTTTTTTGTAAATCTGATTTTTAGCTAATTTTCCATATAGGGAATAAGCTATTAATCGTAGGTCTCATGGTAAGACCCAGGACCGATTTACTTTTTCGTTTTGATGTCCCCAGAGGCCAAAAACACCTTCCGTTCAAATTCATGTATACATTTATGTCCGTAAAATATGTGTCTGTTAGCATGATATAACTTGAGTAAAAATATGACCCGATTTTGATTAAATTTGGTACAAACATGAAAACCAAACGTGAAAGGGATTTATGGGTTGAAAATTGGTTTTTCTACTTATTTTTTATTAACACAACATAACATTTCCCAATTTCTCTCTAAACCATTTTGAAAAGCTTAAAAATACAAATAATTTAGTATATTGAAGTGTTTTTGTACGGTGTTATTGGTTATAGAAAAAATTAAAAATATTGTACACTTAAAATCCCATGTTATTCGTAAGAAGAATAAGTAAACTGTTGTAGTTTGCTTGTTTATGGATGTATTTTGATAACATGTGACAGTTTTGTTGATAATAAATACTTGTTCTGAATGATCAATGGCCATGATCATTATGAGATCAAATGGGAATTTAGGAGCTCCTTCCCATGAGAACGCAACATTATTTACTTTGCTGTCATGACTTTGTGTCAGGGTTTTGAAGGCATTAAATAAATCCCATCAGCTGAAATATTAACTTGGTGAGCAACAGCCTGTGCCTTGCTGGACTTTGTCCACTCCTATTCCCCACCCCCTGCCAGACAGGAAATTTGCATCCTGACATGTCACAGTTACAACTATGAGCAAATCTGACCTCTTCTACAAGGCAACTCCATGCAGTGAGGATGTTTTAAAGTAATACAGAGAGTTCAGCCATTTTGAAGAGTTTGCAGTTAGAAGACCAGTGTCCAGCCTTGTGAACATCAACTTTTTCCCTTGTGTCCATTCCTTTTGGATTTATTTGGCAGAGGTAAGATTAGTCAATGATCAATTTTGTAAATAATTTGAACCCAATTTTAATCCATTTATGATTTAAATACATTTTAATTTAATATTTTCTGGTTCTTGATTTGGAACTAATGGCCAGACATGCAAACTGAGAATTTGGAATATTTCAGAGTAAATCATTATTATTTAATAAGTAAGATACTTTGTCAATTTGTTAGTCATATAGTTTTAGTCAGTTTTAAAGAATCATAAATATGACATTTTCATGGTTAGTTAGTATGATTGGAATACAATTTTGTAATATAGTGCAAAGTAAAACTTGTCTAGAGGAAAAAATATGAAAATTGCTGACCATGTGCTTTCTAATTTTAACTTGCTAATTTACATGAGAATTTAATGAATTGTAATAGTAATGCTGTTCTGTACCCCAATGTAAGTTTTAAATATTTGTTTCCTTTGTATAAATTAATTGTTTTGTGTAAATATGAGTCAAATAAGGTAAAGTATTAATGATTTTGATGATTAACTAATGACACTAAATGTAGGCTAGTAATTATTATGTTTAAAGATGATTTAAATGCGTATTGAAGATTCCAAAATATTAAAATATTATGTAATGTTTGATTTACTGTAAAATTCAAGTGTCAAAAGGTTGTGTAGGTTAAAGTCGATGAATTGATCTAAATGTTAGTTATTCTTTGAATCATTATTAATTAATTTCAACAAAATATTCCAAATTCTCATGAGAATTGTGTTATTATTTATGTTACTAGTTAATTTTAACTGTTGTTTAGCTATGAAATATTTGTCACTGTAAACTTTAGTTGTAAATATTGAGTTGGAAGTGATTTTATGTCTCAGTAATGATTGCAAATAGGGAACACAGTTCAAGAAAGTGTAGTACACTTGGAGCAATTTAAAACAATGTTTCATTTGGTTAGGTTTTACTAATAATATCATTCTATAATTACTTCTGATGCTGGGTAAAATATGTATATACTTTCAGAGATTATTTATCCTCATGTTTAATTAACTTTATAGTGCTTTAGTAGCTACTGAACTCAAAGTAGTAAATTAGCCCATTGAATTGAAAGTGTCAAAGGTAAATAATGCTACACCGAATAATATGAAGTTATATGCGTTATTCTGAACCAATTCATGTATAAACCTCTGAATTCTTCTGGACTTACCATTTGTGTTAACGGACGTCTGAAAGATTTAACATAATTTACTAGGTATTTGAAAGTGTGTTAGTCTTCAATACTAGAGTGTGTGGGTTTTGCACAGGGAAAGTCTGCGGACTTGATTTTGGTTACCTATCGCCCTTTGGATGTGGACTGTGGTATCTTGGACCTGCTCTGGCATTATTCCATTTGTGGCTAGAGGACCTCGACTTCAACACAACCTGTGACATTGACAGACTCACCTGTGTCCGTGCAGTCAACCTGTGTACAACCTAACTTTGACTATACCAACGCTCTCAAACAACAGATAGGATAATTATTTTAATATTACATTAGTTAACTATTTTGGGATTTATTATGAGATATTTGGACACTTTCAGGATCTATTTTGTTTAGATATAAGTATTTGTTTCAGGGTTATATATATTTATTACTGTGTATTATAGGCTATGTCTTTTGTGCTCAATAATTCATCTTAGTGTCGGCCGACAATTTCTAATTAATTTTGGTAGTTATAAAATGGAAGTTAAAAGGTACAAATGTTTTGCAACTGATCAGTAAATATTTTCTTGGGTAATCAAATCTTTGGTATTCATTCATATTACCTAGTAGCCTTATCTTAGAAGTGATAGTGTTTCAAATCAAAAATATCAGTTTTGTTTGATTGAATATTTAGCTGGTAGATAAAAAGAAAAGATAATAATCTCTCCTTTCATTGATAATAGTTGAAATTTGATAGAAATATTATTTGAGACTTGTATGTTTGGTCAAATTAATTTGTTTTAATAGAAGCCTCTGCCATTCCCTTTTAGTAATTTATTTTCAAAATTAATCACATTATCCTTTACCTTGGAATATTTCCTAGTTTGGTTCCTAGGAAGGTTAAAACTAGGTGGCGCCCTTTTCATGAAGAAATTTTGATTTATTAAGGATAAACACTCTGTTCATTTACATCGACCCACCCCAGACTGAGCGACCTGAGGCCAGAGTGTAACAAACACTACTTGGCAAATGTATTTATTTTATAATAAGCCAATTCTACAAAAAACACACTTTATTACCCTCCCTGTAGCAGCAAACCTAGGTAGTCATTAAACCTATGGTATTTAAATAGATTTAAGTGAAAATCAACTTAGGCAAATTGAAATTCGCTGCGGTTAGCATAAGGTCTGGTGTCCACCGCTTGGGGTGCCATGCAGTTGAGGCGCACACGCTACCTAACTATACGGCACACCTAGCGGTGGACGCCAGAACTTATGCTAACCGCAGCACTGCTGTCGGTCTATATTTAATCCTATTTGTCTATGGTATATAGAAGCATTGTTGTATCCCTGACAGTTACAGGGAAAATTCCTAAAAAGTGTAAATAAAAATTCCCATCTTATTCTTATGGAGAAAAAGAAAACGGTCGTAGTTAAGGGTATTTTGATTGAATTTGGAATCCATTTTAATAAAAAAAACACACACCTTATTACCTTCCCTGTAGCAGCAAACATAAGAACTCATGCAAATTAATGTTATTTGTATAGGAAATAAATGTGTCAATTTTAAGGAAATATTTCAGTGGAAATTGAACCAGACAAATGGATATTCACTTTGTCTGCAGGTTTGCTGCGGTGGGTGTATTCCATTATTCTATATGGGTTTTATGGGAATGATCACAAAAGTTACTTTTGAACTGTAATTTTTACAGCAATGGGGTTTGTATAATTTTTATAAGAGTTAAAAGGGCTTATACAAGGTGAGATCCTAAACACTGGGCATTGGCATCTATAACATTATAAATTTGAATCAAAATCATCGAAGCCATTTTTTAAATTGGATTTTTTGTTTATTTTATGGGGAAATCACCACTAAAAATCAAATTTTAAAAAATACACGGAGATACCATGTATTAGTACCTACATTCGGAATTCCATCAAAATTGTACCACCTGGGTGGTCTATTCCTATTGCTCTGTACTACACACACAACTCTGTAGTACACATCCACACACACACTCATATCACTTCCAAAACCACTTTTCTGGGTTCAGGGTGACCCAAAACAGATATTTCCACCAAAACTCAAAAAATGTTATGTTAACTTAAAAAATGTTGAAAACAACACTTTCATATATTATATATATAGGAGGGGAATGTAAAAACTGTGAGTATACCTAATCCCCTGTTTTATAGTAAAACTTAAACCTGTAAGTACCTATGTCCAAGGGAAATTTGTGTTTTAAAAAATAAATCCTAATATTACCAAAACAAAGAAAACAGGTTGTAAAAAAGACATAATACTTTTTAATATTTGAGAATAACTGTACTACAATGTATGGCAGCAGCAATTTATGTTGTAACCAACTCTTTAACACATAGTGTGCTATTATTTATATACTACTTTTTTGTAACTAATTGTTATTGTGCGTTATTATTTTTATATTTCCAATCAATCAAAGCAATTCATTTTTATTTTAAGGATCACACTTGTCAAAAATGCCAAAGTAGTGATAATTTCCTAACCTTAATACAGTGATGTATACAATTTTCATTGATAACTTTTGTATCACTTTACTGGCGATGATAAATAAAGAAGTCAACCATTATCTAGTTGGGTATAGCAGGTGAGGTTGACATTCTTTGTTTTAACAACTTTGACTTATTTGCAAACGTTTTGAAAAGAAGGAGAATTTTTGGACTCATGCATTTGTAGTTTGAACAACTATTCAGTAAAACCGAAACTCTTGCGACTTGTATTATTCGTTTTTAAAAGGCAAACTTTTTAGGGAGTTCCGTATATTTTTATTATTACGTATGTTATTTTATACCCCTATTGGGTATATGAAAAAAGTATTGTTTTTTTAAATTTTCAAGTTTGAGTTTTTGGTGGAAATATACGTTTTGGATCCTCCTGAAAAAAAAAGTTTTTGAAGTGATGTCTGTATGTGTGGATTCGTACAGAGTTACAGACTACACCTGTCGTCCGATGTTGACACAATTTAGTATGTGGGTAAATTTTTTTTTAATGGTTGTATTACAACTCTTAAAATAATGGTAAAATAGATAAAAAAAAAACCGTTCAAACTATTTTAACTAAAACTTAGTATGCTATGGTTCTTTTAACTCAAAACAAAATAGTTCAATTCATCATGCTGTAAAAATTGTCATAATTCATAAAATTTCATAATAAATTATTTACACCCATTATAAATGTTTGACAAGCTAATGGAAGTCGAATACCGTTTATTTTAATGGATAGAATAGTTTTTTATTGACATTTTTCATGTCTTTTATTTACATTTTTTAATTCACCCTCGCATAGGCTTTGTTCATAAAATATTTTATGGATTTTAAACAACATATATACATACTTCCATTGTCATCTTTAGGATAAAAAAATAAACTTTAGACCTGTGGTCGTAACACTAGGAGGAATGCTAAATTAAAGGAATCACTTAGAACTTGAAATTTTTAACAAGTCTTTTATTAACATACGTTCACTAAAATTAATATAAAAACAATAAATATTGAGAATGAGTTCTATCTCTATCGTAATCTCTGATGATTTTCCATCTCCATTGCCATGTTGTCAAAGGCGAGAGTAGGCTGCTTGCTGAATGCTCTTAGGGCTGGACTATAACTGCCATCTGTGGCAAAAATAGAACATTATTTCAAGCCATGCAAATAAATAACATTTCTAATCTCATGTTTACCAAGACTCCAACCTATATATTAAAACGTAACAGGGTTTTTTATTTCACGATTCTGAATCAACCACTTGACGGATTTTTATGATTTTTGCGTTAAAAGAAAGATAATTTTGAGAACTAGGGAATGTCGAAGCCATAATTTTAGTTTAGGGTTTCAGTTTTTTAGAAATTAAGTTTTAATTTTCAAAAAGTCTAGCAGCCGACGGACGAGTTAAAGTCGTTTTAGTGGTGGTTTAACTAACAGCTGGTTTCTAACTGTCATTGAAATGTTTATGTTACAAGTTGTTTGCATACAAAAATAGTGATCGTCAGAGTTTGCCTACACACTATTTCACTTTAAAATGCAGTTTATTTCCTACCGTAAAAGATCTATGTTATCAGGAGATTGTGTAATTTTGAACTAAACATTTTAAACGTATAATCAAGTTTTGTCATAAATGCAATCCGTCTAAGTATAAGTGCTTAATCCTTTAAGATATAAGTGGTTTACGTGTTGATACATTTTTTTCTAGATGTTTGAATATAAGTGTGACTGCATACAGAAAACATTTTATTCGTAATGAAAATGTCAACCGGTGTAGTAGGTCTCCAGAAAACTGACCAGTAAGCTGCAGGGTGTCAGTAGAAACCAAAATCGATTCATACCATATAAAAACTATCCCAGTACCCAGACAGCACACTTTCTCCTCAGGACATCCCACGGATATTGCGACAGGATATGCAAGATATCCCATAGTGGTCCTATGGTCAACTTGGGATATCACAGGATATCCACAGGAATGCGTAATGTCCCCGCCCGGGGATGTCCTACGGATAAGCTCACACGCATATCCGTGGGACATCCGAGGTCATCCCAGGGTAGTCCTCAGGACATTCTCAGGACATATGGGACTACTATGGGATGTCCCTGGGATAAAGTGTGGTCTGGGCCTGAACATAAAAAACACAAAATAATATAGATTTAGTATGAAAAGCTTAATTATAGGTTTAGTAAATTGATTAAATAGTTAATAAACACAAATTTTGAAGAAAAAAACGAGAAAAAAGTTTTTGGCCCAGACGGGTTTCGAACCTGGTACCTTCGCCTTGTGAGCCTCTTACCTTACCTCCTGAGCTATCTGCGCTTGTTGATTATGGGTGTTTTCAAGTGGTTAAAGAGTAGCCGACAGTTGCAATGGTCGCAATACTTAAAATATTTTTGATACGGTACTACAGTATAGGCTATATATGATTCTGTTAATCTGTTTAGGCCTCAAGTAGTTGAATTGTTTTTCTGGTAGTTGGAGAGGATACTGGTATTTGAATATAGATTATTTAATCACCATTAGATTAGCACTGTAATAATTGATTGTTATATGATTAAAATTAGTTTTTTGTTGTTTTATTAATTTAAAGTTAGAATTAAATTCACATTTCACACAACTATGATAGAACTCTAGTTTTCCTGAACTCAGTGGTAGTAATATGTCAGTAAAGTAAAGTCAACCCTTGCTAGCCATAGTATTAACAAGACATATTTTCAATCTGGGAAACCTTAAACTTTTAAAATAAATTATAAAACCTCAACATCTTAATGCGCGGGAATCTTATTTTTAGAAAAAAAAACAGACCAAAATTATTTGTTAAATAATGAAGACGGCCCAATTATAAATTCGGAATTACTGAAAATAATTACATCAAGAACAACACTGTAACATATCCAAAATTCAAAAGATGAATTTTTCTAATATTATTTTTTATTTTTCCAATATCCTTTAAATCATCTGTTTTAACTTTGTTTAAAAATAATTTATTAAGTAAATATTTACTTTCTGTACTAGTGTAAACACAGCCTGAAGATGGAAACCAAGTTTCTGAAAGCACTAGTGAAAAAAACAAATTATTATATATTGGCCTTGTTGAACATTTAAATTTAGATATACTGTACATTTAAAAACATACATCTATTTAGGCCCAATTTAGGCTATTTAGGTAGGTGTATTTATGCTGTTTTGGCATCAGTGGTAGTATTTTTTTCTTCAGTTTGTTACCGGGACATTACGGGACATTACAGGATATCCAGTGGATTTTTTACATGTCCCGGGATGTCATGGGACATTCTGGGATATCCTATGGCATTCGTACATATCCCGGGACTTTACAGGATATCCTGAGGTTAACTTACAAATCCCGGGACATTACGGTATATTGTAGGATATCCTGTGGATTTCGTACTCGTCCCGGGATTTTGCGGGATATCCTGAGGATAGCGCACATATCCCGAGACATTCCAGGACATATGGGACTACTATGGGATGTCCCTGGGATAAAGTGTGCTGTCTGGGTAGTACTGTATGATTCAGAAACTTGATAAAGGGGTACAAAAGTAGACCAAAAGGCTCGGATCTCGGATGGGCTGGGCAGGCTTTGCATGGCGGAGAGAAGATTCTTCAACTTTTAAAAGTGTATTCCAAGGAGTACTACAAGGTAGACGACCACTTGGAAGACCAAGTAATGAAAGACATCTTCAGACTGGTAACTTCCTTAGAAATGGCAGGGGATAGAAGAGAACGGGAGGGCAGGATTTTAGAGGTTTCAGTGGCCAAGGTGGTAAAATAAGGCACGGTAAGTGATAGTAGGCCTATGCAGTGGAAGGTGGTATGTATAGCTACTTACTCAAAGCCAGTGTGTGTGAATCGGCCACCAAGTTGTAAACTAGCTGTTCTGAGTCATATTCAGTTTTAATTGGCTACTTGATTCCCGTACGTAGGACGGGCCAACGGCTCGTTGAAAGTTACAACGCAATTTTATTTTCCTACAGTTACCTGACAAAAGGGGTTTCCTTGCACTGATTATAGCACACAAAGTAGCTAATTGTTTCTTTTAGGTAGTTACTTTTGCTCCACTCATTTTGTTTGCCACACTTTTTTTTTTTGCCGCACTCCAGTATTCCAACCAAACAACAAAAAACAGGGTACCGTACTTTTATTAGCATTCCACATTAGTATTAGACCACATAATACTTGAACGCTTGAAAATAAGTTGGCAACTACTTAAAGATACTACGATTACGATCAGCTGGTGCAGCGTTTCCCATTTTGTTCAACGCTTGGATTTAACCTAACCTAAAAAATAGAATGTGTAACACAAGCGCAAAGTGCCTTAGCTGCACTCGAGAAATTTCTCTCATGTGCAGCAAAGTGCCACTTCGCACATTATTAGTTACACAAATAACTACTTATTTCGTTTTAATTTTGGTCTATACACGCCATTGGCATTATTTTAACATTTTGAAAAGGAACTCATTACTATCTAATCTTCTTATGTCGACCTTTTTGTTAGATACCATCATGAATTGACAGACCAAAGACAAATGGTATAACTCAATAATGATAAACTGTAATACCATAGACAAATAGAATAAATATAGACTGTCAAAGGAAGTATGCGCAATGTGTGCTCGAGGTTCAATTCGCTGCGGTCGCCGCCTCCTCGCCTACACGCTGAAGTGGTGTACACCGTAACTACACGGCATTCCTAGCTATGGACGCTAGAACATATGCTAACCGCAGCACTGCTGTCAGTCTATTTTTGTCTATGGTTATACTTAACATTTCTTAAACTATTAAAAGTATCAAGTAAACCATTGCTAAATAAAATAACAAATTGTTGAAAATGTTGTTGTATACTGTTTTGATTAAATACTTCTATTAACTAAGTTTTGTGTGTGTTTATCAAAGTTATTGGCATTTATTAGTTTCTTGGAAGGGAACTGTCATAACCCAGTTCTTATTAATACCATCTAACTTCAATTTTTGGTTTGATAATTGTTTTGCAACGACCCCAATTATATACCGTAATAATATTTAACCATCCTATCAGAATTCATGTTTAACATTACTCACGTTTTTTTAGTGTGTTGTGGTTGTGGACGCTTGGTGGGTGAGATACATGCCAACCTTTCTCTGGGTATGCTGGCTCGTTGTGTTTTGAAATATCTAGTCCTGAAATACTTATAGAGTTAATATGAATACCTATGTACTACTGAATTATAGTAAAAGAAGTAGTAAGATAGTAATATTTACAAAGAGAATAAGTAAGCTCCTATACCCATTCCAAATTACATGATTCTGTCTAAGAATAATTTTAATAAAATTAAAGAGCAAATCTTGACTGTTTTAATATTTAAATTGATCTCTCATACTGTACAGAAAATTGTATAACAATGATTTCGTTATTCATGGTTTGGGTTTCAGAGATTATTATTAACACAAACAATTCAATTCATCAAATGAATTTAGCATTTTCTTCAGCTATTTTATTGTCTACTTGTCTGAGTTGAATTAACGAGTTATGAATAATGAGTTTGAATTTAAAACAATACATTTTTTATTCACAGGCATGTTAAACTAACTACACTTGAGGATGGAACACCAAAAACTGATAAGTCATTTAAAGAAAGCTTCTAATTAGTAGTTAAATTGTAACAAAAATATATAAAATATTGTACGGTATTATAACTTCATACAAATTTATATACTTGAATACTAGGGTATGCTTAGTGTCTGACCTTCAAGTTCCTCTGACTCGGACACCCTGAGTAGGTTGAGTAGTCTGAGCAGACCAAACAACAAAACACTGCAGACAGTGGACCAGATGATCATCACTAGGACTCCTACTGTATTGTGCCACAGTTGCTGCAACAATTGTTGACAAAAACTTTGTTTACTGTAAAAATCTATAATGTGTTAATTTACTGCCTTGTTTGTTATACATGTTTTCCATGGCTCATATTGGAATTTTGTGATTAAGGATAAAATCATTTAGGCAAGGCCATATAGACATTTAGAGAATCAGTATTTTGGTATTCATATAATAATTTGTACTTTTTAATAATATGAAAAATGTAGTCTTGGACTTGGGTCAACCTGTTGTATAAACTCTCATAAGTATTAAGGGCCTTGAACGAAGGATGTGATGGATTTGTAATAATCATCAAATAAAAAAAAAAAAAGCAGAGACCAATGAAAAGACAAGCGATCAAATCAAAATAACCAAAACTACCCAAGGTTCTTAAGATCAAGTTGTTATGCTCATTAAGTGGCTAATAAAGTGAATTGGTATGAAAGAAATCTATTTGACTTGAAATTAGTGACTTGATTAGTGATAAGAAGAGGTGTTCTTAAGTTTCTATGATCAAGAGAACTGTTATTAAATCTGTGAGCTCGAAGTGATTTTATTCTTTGTTTTAAGGTAATTATTGCTAGTACAACAATTGTGTAAGTCAATTCAATGAATACTTAATGTAAAAAAACTACAACTAATAAAAAGCTTGTGTAAATATGGGAATTCTTTATTTTTTAGGTGTTGCCTTCCGGATTACTTTTTAACAATATCTTCACAAAGTTTCATCATGTAGCGTATTAATAATATAGATTCTAGAGGTTAAATAGTTGCCAACATAATCCATTGACTTCTTGACGACCTCCTAGGAGCGACAACACGTCGGCTTGACAATGACACCTTGAGTGTCGAAACCAGTCGCTATCCAGACGACCAATGGATTATGTTAGCAACAAAAAGGCATTTAACCTCTAGAATATATAAGAATCCTGTTGTATACAGGGTGCCCCGGAACTCTCTACCAATATTTTAGGGCATTGCTCCTGGGTAAGAAACATACCTAAATATCATATTTAAATTGTCCGAAAGTCCTTAGTAACTCACACAGACGCCATTTTGTTTTTTTCAGTTATTAATTTTTTCTAAAGAATGGTTAAACATACGAAATGGAAACTTTGCACAAACACTTATGACAACTTGACAAAGCTACAAAAAAAATATGAAGATTTTTCAAATTCATAAAACAAAATGGCGACAATTTAAAATTTTGTTTCTTAAATAACTCAAAAACCGTTGATTTTATAAAAATTTTATATCGCCGCCATTTTGTTTTATGTTTTTGAAAAATCGTCATATTTTTTTGGTAGCTTTGTCTAGTTGTCATAAAGGTTTGTGCAAAGTTTCCATTTCGTATGGTTAACTATTCTTTAGAAAAAAGTTAATAACTGAAAAAAACAAAATGGTGGTTGTGTGAGTAACTAAGGACTTCCGGACAATTTAAATATTATATTTAGGTATGTTTCTTACCCAGGAGCAATGCCCTAAAATATTGGTAGAGAGTTCCGGGACACCCTGTATATTATATTTATTAGATTGACTTCTTAAGAATCGGAAAGTATTCACAGTAAAATACATAATTAATATTATAAAATTATCTGGTAATTGTTAAATATCAGGTATCTGATTTGCTTGAAAAGTACTGTCTAACACTTCAACATAATATAATTTTTTTGAAACTACAATAATGTTTATGTTTTACTGAGACTACAGTGATTTTACTGTCGCTTTCAACGAACAATTGAGTTGACTCTGTGACTGTGTATGTTACAATTTTTACTATGTAACCAATGTACAGCTCGTGACACCTAAGCTGGCACTTGGCCTAGCGTGGGCAGTGCACGCGGGGGGAGAGTGGTGGTAGGGAAAAGACCGGACTGGAAACATTTCCGCTGCCTCACGGGGTTGACTCCCCTTGTGTTATGTACTTGAGTGCCTTCATATGGGTCACGAGGACCGTTGATGCAACCCGCATGACGGGACATAATGTTTTTGAAATAGGTACTAGTAGCAATCGGCCAAGTGCCAGCTTAGATGTCACGAGCTGTAACACACTTTTACTTTGACCAAATTTTAGAATAATAAACGGTATCAGCAATCTGACACATACTTTCTTCCATTAGCGTGTCAACAACCTTTATTAACCTTTATTATTTTGCATGGGTAAGCAGTAGGAGAAACTATGAAATTTTATACGGAAAATCACAAAAGTTGCAACAACTTTTGAAACGTAATTTTTACAGCAATGGAGAGTTGCACTATTTTGTTTAGAATTATAAAGATACTAATTTCAATCAAAAACAGTTTTTTTTCAAAAATCTGATTTTCTGTTTTTTTTATGGGAAAATAACATAAGTTACAATAACTTTTGAAGAGCAAATTTACAGCAGTGGGAGTTAACCATTATGTTCATAATTTAACAGGCTGTAGCATACTAAATTTTTATCAAAATCACTTGTGTCATTTTTGAGGAAATGAGATTTTTACTTTATTTTATATGTTTTATGGGTGAATCGCCATTAAAAATACAATTTTCAAAAAAAGGAAAAAACGCCTGGAGATATATTGGATTAGTACATACCATATTCCATCAAAATCGGACCACAGGTGTGGTCTAGCTACATTTTGAAAGTTTTGAACATTTATCATGGGTAAGACTAACTATGATATTTTATAGGGAAAATCACAAAACGTAATTTTTACAGCAATGCACCACAGTTGCACTGGGGAGTCCAACAGTTGTACTGTTTTGTTTAGAATTATCACTGTTCGTCAATCAAAAGAGCAGAGAACATATAGTTGCATGTTGATTTACATGGTTCTCATTAAATTTTGCAGATTTTATGAAGTTTGTCTCATTAAAATAAATACAATACTAACAGCAACTGACTCGTTGTCGACTCCATATGCAAGACCTCCTTTAGAAAAGATAGGCATAGCAATCACACCCCAAACTCCTGCTCCGAAATGAACTGCCACTGCATCCAATGGGTCATCCACTGTAAAAATGATAACAGCATAGTTTACCAAGTGACTTTGGATTCTGCTAGTAGAATTCTCAACCTATGGTAAAAGCTGGAGTTTGTCAATGTATGTTTCATATCCAGTTTTGTTAAAGAATGCTACGACTAAATGTTTTCCTCATATTTAGGGTAAATATCTTACTGATATGCGCATTTTACTCTTTGTTGATATAACAGGGACAAGAAATTAGTTAATGTATATTGTTTTATCAGTTGTTAAGTAGTCAGTGAAAATTTGTGCTGATACAAAAATGTTGTTTGACATCTTGAATCAAGGATTAAAATTGAACACTTTCTATGAAGTGTATGAATCCAGGTTATTATGTTGTTAATCATTATAGTATCATCACAATAAAAATCAGGCGCCCTGGGATGCGGGGAACAATCCCAGACATTACCCTTGCATCTGAGTCTCTTTTGCCAAGGATCAGAGCCTGGAGAGTCCTGGAGGATTACACGGCCAGTGACCACCAGTACATAATTTTTGATGTCCTGGATGGTCATCAGTGACAAGTAGCCGCATTTCGAAGTTAGACGTGGCAAAATTCAATGAAGCCATCTTAGGACGAACGCCGGTGGTTCCTCCCGCAGAGGCGTTAGTTACATCCAAGATGGGGCTGATCGTCTTGGCTTGTGATGAGTCTATGCCTCGCAGGAGATCTTGGTGTAATAAGCGACCTGTGTACTGGTGGACTGCCGAGATTGCAGAATTACGTCGGGCAGCATTGAGAGCCAGAAGACTTGCTACCAGAACCAGAGAACCTGTAGACAGACGTCGTAAGTCGGATGCTTACAGAGTGGTTAGGAGGTCTCTTTGTCGAGCCATCATCCGGAGTAAACGCAGTTGCTGGGAGACATTAAGGGACGATGTTGATTCCAACCCGTGGGGCCTGGGTTACAAACTTGTAACCAAGAAACATGGCACCCGCTCTCCACCTTCCATCATGGATGGGGTCACTATGGAGAGGATAGTCGAGTCCCTTTTCCCAGCTCATACGTTGCGCCCACTGCGGGATTTCGGAAGGGTGGATGACGTACCACTTTTCAGTCTTGGATAGATGGAGGCAGCCGTCCTATCCCTGAAGAACAATAAGGCTCCTGGACCCAGTGGGGTGCCTGGCAAAGTCCTCAAGAAGGTTTTGATTACTAACCCCTTGATCCTTTTGATTCCCCTCGTGCTGGAAAACAGCTAGGCTTGTGCTTGTTGGTAAGGGGAAGGGAGACCCAGACCTGCCATCCTCTTACAGACCTCTGTGTATGTTGGATACGGCTGGCAAAGTCCTCGAGAAGTTGATCCGTTCCCGGCTAAATTCAGCCATGGTTGCTGCGGAGGTCCTGTCCCCTCGTCAGTATGGATTCAGGATGGGTTTCAGGATGGCTACGGTTGACGCTATTGAAGAGGTGAAGCAAGCCGTGATGAGAGCTGAGGATTTTAACCACTACTCTCGTAGGGTTGTGCTGCTCGTAACACTCGATGTGCAAAACGCATTTAATTTCGCGAGGTAGTGTGATATGCTGGATGCTCTGGAGAACACCTTCTACGTTCCGGCATACCTCATGCGTATCATAGAGGATTATCTCCGATTCCGCCTCCTCATGTATGACGTACACTACGGAAGGCCCACGGACAATGAGTGTCACTTCCGGTGCTGCCCAAGGTTCCATACTTGGCCCAGACCTCTGGTATGTCGCTTATGACAGCCTACTGAGGTCAGAAATGCCTGAGGAAACTGTTTTGGTTGGGTATGCAGATGACATTGCAGCTTTGATAGCTGCACATAGCGTTGAGCTGGCTAAGCCAAAGCTGAACCGAGCTATGCGTACCATAAACGCATGGATGGCAGACCATGGTCTCTCACTCGCTTTGAGCAAAACTAAGATCGTGATATTAACAAAAAAATGGATTGACACCATCAAACACATCATGGTTGAGGGTGGGGGCCGTCGAAGTCCAGACCGTTCATACTGCCAAGTACCTTGGGGTTATGGTGAACAGCAAACTTAGCTGGCAGGACAAGATTTTCCGTACGGCAGACAAGGCAGCTAGGTCTTAGCCAGTTGATGGCCAATGTCGGAGGGCCTCAGTCTCGGTCCAGTGCTAGAAGGCTGTTAATGTCTTCTGTCCAGTCCGTACTCTTGTACAGTGCGGAGGTGTGGGCAGACGCTCTCAATAAGGAAGGTATATATACGGCTTGCCCGTGTGCAGCGTCAGGCAGCACTAAGAGTAGCATCTGCCTACCGAACAGTGTCCAAACCCCCCCCGTCCTGGTGGTTGCTGGAATCATAGAAAGGCAATTTATCAGCGCCGTGGGGAGGACCAGGCACGAACAGAGGAACGCACCCGCACCTATCAGCTGTGGCAGGAGAGCTGGGAGCAGGAGACACAGGGACGCTGGACCAGGCGACTGATACAGCAAGTCCAACCTTGGGTTAATCGGGGATACAGAGAGGTGGACTTCTACCTCACCCAATTTCTGATAGGTCACGGATTTTTCCGGTCGTACCTGTTCAGGATGGGACAAGCCGTGTCACCCGATTGCATATACTGCCCAGGCATTCCCGATGAAGTAGAACATACCTTTTTCCACTGCCAGCGTTGGGAAAGGCCCCGCCTGGAGGCTCAACAGTTAGTAGGACTGCTGTCGGTGGACACGGTCATACCGATGATGACGGAGGGTGAGGACAGTTGGACCTGTGTGTCACATTACATCCAGGGTATTCTCCGCGCCAAGAAACTCGACCTTGGCCAGGATGCGGTGTAGGTCATAAAGAATCTAAATGCCAGAAACGATGAGAGCCCTGAGGGCTTAGGTCACATGTTGGCCTGAATTGAAGTAATGTGACAAACAATTCCAGGTCTGTGTCCAACCAAGTAGAGGGGGATTTTTTATTGAGTAGTCTGTGATAAATTCAGGAGTCTCACACTACAGGCTGGCTACCTGTGTGCGTAAAAGCATTTTCCCTCCTCTCCTTTAAAAAAAGAGATCATCACAATAAAAAAAACCAGCTATATATTAAATTACAAAATAAAAATAAAAACTGATGTAATAACACAAGGTTAGTGTGTGTGTTTTACTACTTTTACCTCCATTGGTTGGTTACTATCTAAGCATAACCTGACTTTTTAGAATTTGAAAACAATCAAATGATTAAGATTAAAGTTGGAGTTTGTACAGGGTGCGGCAAAAAACCAATCTATAATTTAAATTATTAATAACTAAAAAATTTACAGTGATGTAATATGTTTGATTGGTATTACAGACTGGTATTGATTTCCATTAACGAAAACTAACATATTACACCAAAACTTTCAAACACCTTAATTAGGATTTCAAGAGTCAGTTTGGCGATCTCTTGAGTAATGGCCTCTTTTAGTTCGCCCAATGTGCAGGGCTTGTTTGTGTACACTTGTGACTTTGGCCTCAAAACTTATGTTGCAAAAATTCCTCACAGCATTGACTGTGCGTGCAGTAGCGCCATCCTGTTGAAATCACATTCTTATCAGGACTATGCATTTTCCCCGAAGTTCTGGGATGAGGAAGTTTTGTAACATAAACAGATAGTGTGTTCCAAATTCACCATAACTATTCGGCCACCTTCTTCAAAGATGGCCTGAGCACACAAGTTTTTGTGACACACCATACACAGTGACGTCAGTGGGTTTTAATTGCTGAACAAAAGCCAATTTGTATGGATGATACAAATTTAGATCGAACCCCAAAATTTGTCTAACCGAGCGGTCAGGTTCAAAGCAGCCGCTTGTTATGGGCGGGCCTACGAGGACGGTTTTCCACAGCAGCACAAACTTGATATTGTCTGGCATTCTAGCTGACCATGGACGGTCTGTCGGCTTCTTTTTCAATGTAGGACCCGTTAAGCTGGGTTTTCCTATGCGCGGAAGTGAAGCGCGGAGAGCGAACTCCGCTTGTCTTAGGCAATTTAATGTTACTGTTTTCCTATAAGCGGAGAGGAATGCCATGTTAATCGCTTTTCCGCTCTCCGCCCTCCGCTCTCCGTGCTCCACTTCCGGGTCTAGGAAAACCCGGCTTTATTCTTAAGGTAGTAAACACCGCATGGTTTGCTATGCGACGGAAATTCTCCATATCGACCTAATTGTCGACACCTAATTGACCACTGCTCCATGACTACTGACAATGACGGCGCTTAGGCTTTCCAACAAGCCTACCCCCACCTCCCTCAGACGCATTGTTGCTGAATGGTGCGCCGCAGAAAATAGATCAATTTTTTGCCCCACTCTCTGTACATGTTCACAATATGGTTATTTTTACCTCTTAAGTAAATAACAAAAGACCGAAGTACCAGATAGACGGGACACGCGATTGCTCCGGTTATAATGGCTCCCAGAGTGGAGTAAATATCTGCTGCTGCACATATTGATACCTGCAATCATAATATAAGGCCATCTACAGTAAAATTGTATGTTATATGGTTTGTTAAATTATATTCATAATGACAACGATTGTTTTATAAATAACTTTAAAGATTGTCTTTAAAAGCGATAGGCTTTGAAATTTAGTTACATTCAAATATAATATTTTTACATTTAATTTAGCCTTATAGCATTGAGCCATTGATTACATTCCTTTTATAAACAAATTGATTCTTTATTGATTTTGTTACCTGTACATTAAATTGATGCAGCAGTTGCATTTGTAAGTAATGTCAATATTAAGCTATGATTTCACATTGCCATGCTATGTTAGGCCAAGAACACACCCACCTTACAAAATTTATTCATGCTTTTTAAGCGTGAATTTGGACAATACATTAAGAAGTATGAGGCAGGCCACATTAGGGGAAAAAACACACATGAGCGTGTTAACATGCAAAGCAAGTTTTTCTTACGAAGTTTGGTGAGAGGAAATGCACGTGTATTCTCTACTGGAGCTCTTTGGGCAACCCCCCTGAATTTGGTAGCGGGGAGCGGCTTATGGCAGTGAACACACTCCCCATAAGATAAGATAGTTAAGATTATTTTTCATGGAATTTTACTGATTTTAGACATCGCTGTTGCATTTTCAGTTACGGTTGGGTTTTCAGTTAATATTGCTGTGAAGTGTACGTGTAACTATTTTATCAACGTTATATTATTCAGTTTGACGATTCTACACACCACACGTATTTTTTATATTTCTAATCTACTAATTTTTTTTGTAAGATTATTTATTTTTTATTTTCTGTAGTTTGCTACCTGGCAAGTTGTTACGACTTATATAAGACTGTTTAATATTTCAGTATCTGGGGACCGAGCTTTGCTCGGGAAAAATCATTAGTTTACTCTGAAAGCAGTCTTAGTATTGCAGATACATTAGTCCATTCCCGAACTCCACAAACTGTTCACCATTACTACTTCCTTACCACTCTCTACGTCGTGGACCTGTTTCCCTCCCTTTCCATAGCATTTTAGGATTGCAGATACATTAATGTAATTGCCACAGACAGTTCCCACACTCTAAAACTGTAATATCTTATAGTTTTAAATTCTGTTTTAGCATTTATAAAAAAATATTAGACTGTCGTCTGGAGGTGTGATTGGCTGGTATAAGTTTGCATAGCTCAAGTGAGTGTGGAGGGGGAAGTGTGAATCATGGACACAGGCAATTTTTATTGCTAATGTGGCATGCTCTAACTTATCTTGTAAGCTGGCAAAAAAAAAAAAAAAAAAAAAAAAAAACTTATCTCGTAAGGCTGCTTTGCCTTTGAAATCCCGTCTACTTATCTAGTAAGATGACAAATTACAAGTGTGTTCCTGGCCTTAGGAATGTTATATATTATAGCGGTGCTTAGGGAGGTATAGGGCTGTTTTAGATTGGCTACCGAGGTGTCTATAAATACCTATTGCAATGCCATAGTAAGACTTAAGCGATCCACATAATGTTATAGAGAGGTTGAAATATGCAGATTTTATGCTTGCTGAACTGTAAATAGTTGTCATCAAAACACGAGTGATAATTATTAAAATCCCTTTAACGTTTGTGTATATTGGTAAATGTTGAAAATTATAATCCACTACAATTGACTGCAAATATCCACACTACTTTGTTAGACAATTTACACTATATCAAATATAGTCGTTTTAATTTTTCTATGACAAAAGTTGTTGTTACAAGTACCGTAAGTTATTTTTCTGATACTAAACTCCTACCACATAATAACTCTATTCCCTAAAGGTAAGGGATTGGCGAGGAGGTAGCCCTTACCATGCCTGCCAGGACAGCGTTGAGTGTTGTAGAGAAGGCCCAGGTAGGGGGCCCCAGTAGCCCCACCTTGCTCAACACCAGCACCACCACTGCGGCCCCACTGCCCCCCATGATGGTACTGGTGATAGACCGAGCCACTATCTCACTGTCCCCAGGCTGTGAGATGTGTCCTAGAGATCCTCCGTTGAAAGCCAGGAACCCAGATACCAGTAGTAGGCCTCCAATGCCTACCAACTAACACAAGAAACATGGTTAACTAAAGCATCCTAGATTAGTAGGCTTACCGTACATTACAAAAGATTTATCTGAAATATCAATAGGTTTAATTGGAAAATAGAACTGCTGGTAAGTTACTACTGTATTAGAAACATGGTTAATTAAAGCATCTTAGATTAGTACCGTACATTACGAGAGATTTATCTGAAACATCAATAGGTTTAATTGAAAAAGAGAACTGCTGGTACTACTGTATTAGAAACTTGGTAAAGGTGTCTAAAAAAGAAAGGTCTTGGTATTTAGGTGTGTAATTAAAAGGGAAATAAAGAGAAATAATGGGGCTCTGCCCCAGTGGCCTTTAAAGTTCACATGTTATTCTTATGAAGAAATTATTTTGTTATGACCAGCTGGATAATTTTACGCTATCATTATTTGAAACAACTGTTAACATTTGAATTGCAATTCAAAGAAACACGAGCTATATACCCCTATTTAATGTTAAAATTAAACATTTATTAATATTATTTTAGAAAAAGAAACTAAGGAAATGTTTTAAATAAATGAAATTTTTATACTGTGTCCTGTAAGAAACATAATAATATATATTTTGGAGTCCTTTGAACTTTTATCATTCAATACATACAACACTAGTGAGTTTTAGTACGTAAGCATTTATTATGTGTTTTCAAATCTTTTTATTGGCCTATCAGTAATTGCAGCATACAATTAATACAGCTGTTCATAAAGTGCCATCCTACTTAATATTATAAATGAGAAAGTTTGGATGTATGGATGTATGTTTGTGACAAGTGAACGCGAAAAATACTGGTCGGATTGGGCTGAAATTTGGCATGATGATAGCTCACATTCCCGATTAACATATAGGCATATTCTTATTTCAAAAATCCTTTTGGGCTCCGCCCCAGTGGCTCTGGAGTTTCCCATGTTAAATGGAATTATTGAATCTTAACAGCTGTTTCAATTAAACAAGTTGGTTCTGTTCTATGATGTTCAATAGCATCTAAGTTACAAGGATTACCAACAGGGTGCAGCACTATTATTTCTTTTACATTTATGACAACAGCTATTTGCAACCAAAAGGTGAGTGAGCGTAGCGAACGAGCTAACCTGAAGGCAAGTGAGCGCAGCGAACGAGCTCCAACCTAAAGGTGAGTGGCGTAGCGAACGAGCTCCAACCTAAAGGTGAGTGAGCGTAGCGAACAAACTTCAACCAGGACGTGATTGAGCCATGCGAACGTTATAATCTTGAAAATTAAGAAGTTAAACGGGGCAAAACCCGCGGGTTACAGCTAGTCTATAAGTATAAAAGAGGATTTTTGTATATATATTTGTTTGTTTGTTTGTTGGCAGTGATAAACTCAGACACCACTGAACCGATTGCCACGAAACTTGGTACATACGTGTAGAATGTCATGGAATAGGTTTAAACACCATCAATTTCGTGATCCGTCCAATCGGCTCCGCCCCAGTGGCTCTGGAGTTTCCCATGTTAACCTTATGAGAAATGGAATTAATGAATCTTAACAGCTGTTTCAATTAAACAAGTTGGTTCTGTTCTATGATGTTCAATAGCATTAAAGTTACAAGGATTACCAACAGGGTGCAGCACTATTATTTCTTTTACATTTATGACAACAGCTAATTTGCAACCAAAAGGTGAGTGAGCGTAGCGAACGAACTTCAACCTGGAGGCGAGTTAGCGTAGCGAACGAGCTAACCTGGAGGCGAGTTAGCGTAGCGAACGAGCTAACCTGGAGGCGAGTTAGCGTAGCGAACGAGCTAACCTGGAGGCGAGTTAGCGTAGCGAACGAGCTAACCTGAAGGCAATTGAGCGCAGCGAACGAGCTCCAACCTAAAGGGGAGTGAGCGTAGCGAACAAACTTAAACCAGGACGTGATTGAGCCATGCGAACGAGATAATCTTGAAAATTAATAGATGTGCAAATACGTTGAATTTATTTACTTTACATCGTATTTTACTAAATTATCATGTAGTTTTGGATACAGTTTGGTGTGGTTAAGTGAATGTTTGAAAGTGATTATTCACAGTGCAGTTACCCTTTACATTACCATTATAATGTAATTTACAATGTGTATAAAAAATCCTTTGTAGTGTTTTCTGTTGCCTGTTTAACTTTCGTATTTTATCTAAATTTAAAATAATGCCACCAGTGGCAGTAACATGAAGAACTGCGAGTGGCTGGAGGGAACACAAACGTGACTGCTTGCATCAACCTTTCAATGTGACAGATACAGAGTGGCAGTACCACCGTGGTGATACATTAAATCTCGGACAAATAAACATAAAATTTTTTTACATTGTGGCAGCTTACATTTTAAGCAAGAAAAAACTGGCCGAGACAGTTCAAATGTTATTCTTTGTTGCTATAAATGAAAGGTTCGTTTACATAATTTGCGGAATTCACCATACTTTCAGGAACTTATTGGAAACTCCCAATCTGAAAACAGGGCTGTGAGGCTTGGATCCAGAAATGATCTGGATAAAATTTGCCAATTCAATTTCGCCTTTGCCATGGTCAGCTCTGAAACTCATTTAGATGAGAGGATCACACAGGGGATCTACAATTTAAAGATCCATGACCCGTTTTACCACCGGTAGATAATCTCATTCCTCAAGAAGGTCACGATCCTGAATACGCACATACCTTTTAGTAGGAAATTGGCACTGGAATCCAACAGCGCATGTAAAACAATTAAAAAAAAAAATCAATGAAAAAATATGCGGGAAATAGGGTCACAATGCCAACCCATTTGCCCAATCTTTTAAACTGTGGCAGAAATTTGTTGTTTTACAAGAGCTTCGAGGAGTCAAGTGAGATTCTTATGTGCATAGTAAGATACAAGAAGTTACTTCCCTCGCTACAATGATGCTACCTGTATAGATGTCGCAGCTATTTTAAAGCTAAAAACAGAGCACCACCAGGCCAAATAATTTTTTTTTCTTTTTTTTATGAATAGTGTTAAACGTGAATCCGTTCTAGATACGTCAATAAATCCATTCTTATGTTCCCAACCGGAGACTTTGGTTGGGGCACCTAATTTAAACATATCTAAACAGAACATATTGTAGAAATAATTTAACAATGCTGTAGTGTCGTAGGCCTACTGGTTAGCCTCAAGAGAGGGATTTAGCTTGGTACATTATGTCTGAAAAGCTCACTTTACAGTGTATGGTTGACATCTGCATTCTCATAGAAGGCACCCGCCCACAGTACATAAGAGATAACCAAAGCAGTATGAGAACGGATCTATATTTAAATATTGTACCGGTACCGTAGATTACTGTACTTTTATAATGTCTTACAACATTATATTTTTCACATTTATATAATCAGTCATAGAAATTACGATTGAGGTTTTGCTGTTAATATTTTTTTCTTCATTATTTTATTAAAAGTTGCAGTTTTGCTCAATTTCCAGTAACAGGTTATCTAGTAATTGTTAAATTGTGTCACAAACGATTGTACATAGTCATGAAATGGTTGCTACTCGCTGTAATTAATTTATAACATACACAGAATCAGAAAATCTTTAATACTCTAACTTTACGGTAAAAAGGTCTTGGACTTTTTCCTGAAACCCTAAAAATTCATATATATGATCCTTCTCAAGGCCAAAAAAGTTTAGGCTGGTTAATAATAATATCTGAACATAGAACCTAGATACCTATACTGTACATAGAACGGGTATGTTCTTAACTAATTATGATTCAATATTATTAATTACTCCAATTACAAAACCAAAAACCTTACTATAACATTTTGTTTCTGAAAAACATTAAGTATGTAACATAATATTGAAAATGCTAAAGTTGCCTTTAGGACAGCAGAATGAAACAGCTTTTTATTAGGAAAAAATATAATTCATTACAGCCCCAACATTCGGATGGTGAGATTTTCCTGGATAACTTTTATTAATTGATTTGATAAAAATTGGTTCAAATCCATCAAAAGTGGAGGCTGCTGTTTTCTCATGTTTGATTTTGGTTATCATAATAACGGATAAAATAGCTTTTCAATAATGTGTATACATATTTTAAGATACCTACTGGAACTGAATGTCCAGGCTTCTCCACAACCAGTCCATTTTCAAAGCGACCTATGCGAGGACCAACAAAGGCAGCAGCAATGAAGGAGCAGACCCCAGCCACTGCATGGACCACTCCACTACCAGCAAAGTCTCTGTAACCCAGAGTGGCCAGGAACCCTCCTTCCCCCCAGGCCCAGTGGGACACTACCGGGTAGACAAACCCTGCAACATCCAACATTCAATATACTTACAACCTGTTAGATCTTATACTATTTAGCCATACATAATAGCCAGGGTTCAAAGCAATAAAATAACAAAAATATAATTTATTCGTCCAAGTAGGAGTCATTTTGAGGTCACAATACAAAGCATGTTCTCAATACTCAATTTAACTATTTTTTGTGGGACAAGGTCCACTTCGCCAAGCTTAATAGAAGCAAGGAAAATACACACAAAAAATAAAATAAAAACAAATGTAATTATTTATGTGTGAATACCTGTGCTATTTTTGAATATTTTCTCCCAAAAGTTTTAACTTTTGAAATATTTACCATGCCTATCCTTATCACCTGAATGCAAGTGTAATTGCACAATCAGCAATCTGAACTTTTTATCAAGAAATTAAATGCACACCTGATATGACAGAGCTGTAGACGATGTAGGCAGCAAAGTTGCACCGTTCAGCTACAGCTCCAGAGATGATAGTAGCAGCAGTGGCTGCAAATATGAACTGGAAGAACCAATGAGCCATGGATGTCTCACTAACCCCCACGCCAGCCCACCACGAGTAGCCCAGCAGACTGTTGCCTGGACTGTAGGCGAGGGAGTAGCCCACCAGCCAGTAGCAGATACCACATATAACTGGGGAGAAAACGAGGACTAGGGGAACTACTTTCAAGGCTTTTAGTTACAAAATATGGTTGATCATTCAATGAATAAAATACTTCCCATTCGGTACGTCATCGGATTTATTATAACTGTGTTAGCTGGTCTCTCATCCTTCTATTGGAAGTACCTTTAAATAGTATTAAAATCGTATTGGTGGATCTTTTGTGGTAAAATCTGTTTATTGAGGAGGCATGTTCTTACTTCAAAGGGAGGTCCAACCTTAAGCTGACTATTTTTTCCTTCGTGTTGTCAGTTATCATACTTCTGAGCCAATGAATAACCATAATAATGTGCCATGATTGGGATTGTGACCGGGGGCGTAACCGGGATCGAATTAAATTAATAAGAATACTTTAGTGAGAGGTAAAAGAATGTTTAATCATTATTCAAATAAAGTGGATGGACAATATGATAAAGATAATAATAAAGACAATAATAAATACCCCCGCCGCAGCAAACCTGCCGTCTAAGCGAATTTCCATTTGGCTGAATTGATTTTCAATTGGTCTATTTAAATAACATTAGGTTTAACGAGTACCTAGGTTTGCTGCTACAAGGAAACTAATAAATAGTGTGTTTTAAGTAAAATAATTATTGCTTAGTATAAAATGAATATATTTGCCAAGTTTGATCAAAAGATATCCATAAACAAGCAAACTACAACATTTTACAATATTCTCCATAAGAATAACATGGGAATTTTAAATTTAATTTTTTTTTTTGTTTTCTCCGTAACCAATAATTGTACAAAAACACTTTGATATAATGAATTGTTTGTTTTTTAAGCTCTTTAAGAAGGTTTAGAGAAAAATTGGAAAATTTTGTGTTTTGAGGGTATTTATTCACACAAATTATAAATGAAATCAATTATTATAAAAATGATTACGATTAACATCAATCAATCACTGACTTTAAAAAGTTAGTTAGCCTGGACAATCACAAAAATTATAAAGTTGAAATATTAATAAAGTAATCGCCTTACCAAAAACCCGGTGACCGGCGAAGTGTCCCCGTGAATAGACTGGGGCCAAGTGTCTTCCTTTCGGTCAACTCCAACCTCAGTCTCTCCAAAGTACAATTGCTAAGTCTACGGTTTTTGTGGGTGGGTCGATTGAGCAAACTACGTGTCATCAAGAATTCTGTCTACTAAATGCCAATGTTCTGACACTGGTATATGCATTGTGAAATCCATTTACCAGGTCTTTTACTTTTGAAATATAATCCCAAAATTTAGAAAATAATTTTTGGTGACTACTCGTCACAAATGAATAGCATAATTTTGAGAAATTGGTCCCGGGGTTGTACTGTTAAAGCTGGAATCCCTTGACGACATGCGGATGACAGTATCATTTACAGCATCAATTACATAAAGTGTTGTCAATATAATCTCTCTTGGGAATGTTAGGTGTAGTGGAATATACTGCTTAGTGTAGTGAAGCTGGTTTTTATTCTTGAACTTTTAGGGGCCTCGTTCATGTGGCTGTGTGGCTTCATTGGTAACAAATAGTGCAAATGACATAGCAATGCTGCATTTCCAAAAAGCAAATACAGTACTGTACAGCCAGTTACATAAATAGTGATGTTTACATGCATTCTTGTTAATCAACGTATCTTATAAAGTATGGAGATCTATTTTAAAGCAAAATGGCCTTTCTATCATGACTGTAGCTGCTTAAATGGTAATTACTCGTTATGCCATTTGTTTACAGTCAAAGTGTAGTGTTATTTAAAACAATCTAACGAGCAAGTGGACCACGGTCCGTAATAGGCCACTGCAAATTATCTGGCAAGATAGGTACTGTTTTAGGCAAGGTTTCTGTGTTTGGATGTTAATAGACGATAAGAGCACAATGAACTTCTTCTGCAGATGAATAATATCTGTTGGTTAAGAGAAATATAAGCCAAATTATAACTTCTTTGTGGATGTAGTGTAGCCCACACACTGACTTTATATCTACCCCCATAAGCTTTAACCCCCATAAAATGGTGCTTCCACCCCCACAATCACTAGGGACTCTTCAGATTCCAAAACCTAATGGTAAGCACTACGTTTCCTATAAGTTTCATGAACGGACTAATTTTTATGTTTTCTACTAGTCTTTAGTATAATTTTACCTGTACTAATAGTATTTTTTAGGCTGTTGCTCGGTGCACTTTGAGACATTTTTAGAGATAAATTTAATGGGTTTTGTTGCTGAATAGCGCTAGTAAACATGCACAACCCTTTTCGTTAGCCTAATAACATTCAAGGGCTCTATTTTCACTAAGCTGAATGAATACATCAAACTAACCTCTGTGAAAAGTTTGCAGCAAATTGCAATTTTCCAGATTTATGAATTTACATACAACATTATTAAACATTTAATCCAGTTGCTGTAAACCACTATTAATTTAACAAAATATGGCTCATATTGGCAACGTGCCCTTCTGCACTCGTATTATGACGATAGTGTAAACAAATCTAGGAAGGGAACTTTAAAAGGCTTCTAGGGCAGAGCCCTAAGGGAATTTACTTCGTTTTTCTTATTGATGGCTCATCTACAGACCGAGATCTTTCTTTGGACACCTCTACCAAGTATCTACGCCCAGCCGTTCTCTCAAATCAGTGGAGACAAAGTTTCCAATTAAATATTTAGATTCCCCCATGTTAATCTTATGGGGGAAAACACAACTTTGATGGAAGATCCTGCCCAAACTAATAAAGATTTCAAAAAATGAAAAACACTTTGCACTACTACAGACCAGGGCCATTTCTTTGACACTTTAATCATCAAAATCGGTCCAAAAATTAGAGAGGAGTTCTGTTTGCAAAAATCGGCTTAGCGTATTATATATATACTAGGTGAAACCCGTCGAAATCGACGGTTACTTTCAAGGCTTACGATAATTCATCTAACTGCGATAAATTAAGTGAAATTATACATATTTTGAGCATTTAGCATTGTTTTTGTTTAAAGAGTAATAAGTGTAAAAACAATAATGATATTAATTGTGTTAGTTACCAAAAATGGTTGATCATTCAACGAATAAAATATTTCCCATACCGTACGTCATCGGAGTTATTATTAGTATGTTACCTGGTATCTCTTCCTTTGGAAAGACCATAAAATAGTATTAAAAGGGTATTAGTGGATCTACGGAAGTGTTTATATAAACACTTGCGTGATTTCATCAGTGTAATGTAGATTAATCTATGATTTTATTTGAAAAAAATATCAGTTTGTTGGGAAGACACGTTCTAACTTCAAAGGGAGGTTTATCCGTTACAGTGTAAGTTTGATTTTTCCTTCGTCACGTCACGTCAGTTTATCGTACTTCTGTGCCAATGAATAACCCTCTATCATAGTTTTGAGAAATTGGTTGTGGGGTTACTGTTAAAGCTAGAATTAATTGACTTGGGGGATGTCAGTTAGTTGTCTCAGCCTTATCAATTACTTACATAAAGTTGTCAATATAATCTCTCTACGGAATGTTAGGTGTAGTAGTGGAATATACTTGAAGTGAAGTTGCCTTTTATTCTTGAACTGGAGCCTCCTCGTTTATATGGTCGTGCGGCTTCATTGGCAGCAAATAATGTAAATAGCATAGCAATGTGGCATTTCCAAAAAGCAAAAAATACTGTAAATTGGCTGTTACGTAAATATTGACGTTTACATGCATTTTTAGCGAATTTCCCATATAGGGAATAAGCTATTACCGTAGTACTCATGGTAAGACCTGGACCCAGGACCGATTTTTTTTTTCATTTTGAGGTCCCTAGAGGCCAAAAACACCATCCGTTAAAATTCATATATATATATATATATATATATATATATGTCCGTTAGCGCGATAACTCGAGCAAAAATGATCCGATTTTGATTAAATTTTGTACAAACATGTAAACCTACGTTTATTCAAACGAGTTCGCGAACCAGCATGATCGGACCATGGGAACGGGGGTTTTAAGGGGGCTTTTATGGGGTAAAAATGGGTTTTCCCCATTTTTGACCCAAAAAACATAAAATTTTGCAATTTCTTTCCAAACTATTTTGTAGAGCTTAAAAAAACAAATAATTTAGTATATTGAAGCGTTATAATGCGCCTAATGGTTACGGATAAAATTACAAAAAATTTTAAATTTTAAATTCCAATGTTATTCTTATGAAGAATAAGTAAACTGTTGTAGTTTGCTTGTTTATAAACATATTTTGCCCAAATTTGGAAAATGTGTTTATTTCTCACTAACTATTAAAATTTTACATAAAAAAACACTTTTACCCTCCCTGTCGCAGCAAACCTAAGTATGTTTTAAACTGATTCTATTTAAATAGGGAATAAATGTGATATTTTTAAGGAGACATTTTAGTGTAAATCTATTCAGGGAAATGGAAATTCGCTTAGTCTGCAGGTTTGCTGCAGCGGGGGTATTAATCAACGTATCTTAAAGGATGATGTAATCTAGTAATCAGGAATATATGACCTTCCTGTCATGACAGTAGCTGCTTAAATAGTATTTACTCATTGTGATATTTTTACAGCCAAACATGTCGTGTTATTTTCAATAATGTTACCAACCCAGTGGGCCACGGTCCGTAATATAGGCCACTGCAAATAATTTGTCAAGATAGGTACCATTTTAGGCAAGGTTTCTGTGTTTGGATGTTATTAGACACGGCAAGAGCACAATAAACTTCTTCTGCAGATGAATTATCTGTTGGAGAAGTATGATCCGAATTATATACGGTAATATCACAATGCGTGTTTTAGCATTTTGTAACTATATAGGTAAGTTACAGAGATTTTTTTAGACTGCTGCTCAGTGCAATTTAAGAATGTATTTTTTAGAGATAAATTAAATGGTTTTTGTTGCTGAGTAGCGCTACCGTAGTAAACATGCACAACCCTTTTCGTTAGTCTTATAACATTCAAAGGCTCTCTAAGAGTTCAAGTTCTTATTTGTACATACATATCTATATTATGTTTTCACTAAG